GGTCCCTCGAGAAGGCCCAGAAGGGGGAGGGCTGGAGAGATTGTCGGTTGGAAGCCCCTCGCCTCCCAGAGAGCCCATGTGGCCCCGAGAGTGAGAGGAGACAGTGCAGGAGCTGCTGTGGGGCAGCACTGGGGCAGAGATGGACTGATGCCGTGGCCCCAGTGTTGGGAGGGTTGAGGAACACAAGGCTGGGCTTGCTGCGGCTCTGTAGGCCTTTGCAGGAAATGCTGTCCTGAGCCCCAGGAGAAGTGATCTGTGAAGCCTGACTTGGGGAGGTAGCTCTGGGTAGGGTGTGCGAGGGAGATGAGTGGTGCCTGTCCCCAGGAGGGAAGAGACCACTCCTTGGGCCTGCTCTCCGGAATGGGGGCTTGAACCTTGTGACTCCTTTTGGCAAAGATTTTTGTGGCATCTTCTCTGTTAGTTTTCTGAATCTGCGGAGAGAGGAAGCAGCCAGGTAGCTTCAGGAAACTGTGCTGATGGTAAGCATTGATGGTCTTTTATTTCTAAAAACACAAGGGACTATGAAGGAAGACCCTGGACCCTGCTGGGGATGGTGCAGAAGGAGCCCTGTGTCCATGTTGTGCTGACCTTGGCCCTGGGCTCACAGAGACAGTCACTGTTGCTGTCTGGGCATGAATCTTGTTTTAGACGTGGAAACCTTGGTCTGGCCTTGACCTACATTCCACGGGAAGTATCTGGCTGCTTTACCGCAGCACGGGTCTGTGCCCAGTGTTGGCATAGCGTGTCACCACTAGCGTGTGCAGGTGCCCCCAGGGAATGTCTCGGGTCCTTTTGGATTTGGTACCTGACTGTTCGTGCTGCTCACGGAAACCAGACAAGAAGATCCTGGCCTGTGGGAAGGCAGCCCAACTCTGCTGCTGATCCCTCTCTTCCCTTGCCTCCCCTTCCCTTCCTTGGAAAGGAAAGGCTGAGAAACTTGAGGCTGCTGGGCCACGGGGGGAAACGCAGTCCTGAATGTGCAAGAAGGTCCGTCCCAGGGGCCGGCTCAGGCCCTACTAGTCTGCTGCTGTGACAGGCCGCACAAGAGGCTGGCAAGCCCTGGGCAGGGTTTCCCATGTGATGAGCCTTGCCTTGTGGTCTCCTGGGACTGGCAGAGGCCTTGGGGAGCTGCTCCTGGCTGTGCTGTGCTCCAGTCCCTGGGGCATTCTACCTTGTGGGGGATTTGGATTTGGTCCTCCTGGGCAGGCTGCAGGATTCCTGGTGACCGCCCTGAGGTCCTGAGCAGGGGCTTCCTGGTGCTTCTTGTCCCTTTTTCTTCTTGGAGAACTGGGGAATACAAGGAACCCCACCCCCCACCCTGGTGGGTGCTGGGAGTAAAACCATGCAGCTTGTGGGTGTTCGACCTTCTTGCGACTATAGTGGGCTAGAGGTGAATGGATCTTAGAGACGAAGCTGGAATTCAGCACATTTTATGGCTCGGCTAACTCAGCCCAGGGACAAGACAGCTCCTGTCCCACATCACCTGAAGACACGGCCTACTCTTTCCCAACATCTCTTCTGGGCCCTTCAACCTTGTACCCCATCCCTGAAGGAAGCTGGTCTGAGATTTTGATGTGTCTGTTGATGGGGCAGTGTTGTTCTGAGACTTTCTGACCCACATGGACCACAGACCCACTCTGTGTGTGTGTGTTTGCAGGTGTGTGTACATGTGTGCTGATTTGTCTCTGAGCTCACAAGCCAGAGAGATTTGGTTGAGAAGTATGGTGGCCTGCAGAGAGGTATCCAACTAGTGCTTAGGTGCTCACTTTCACGCTGGCCTGAGAAACGGTGCATTTCTGTGGCCTGCTTGGTGTAGCATTGCCCGGCCTGGCGTCCAGGCCCGCTGCAAAGTCTTAGAAACAAGGTGATGCACAGTCCCAGAGAATGGCGCCAAGTGGCTCCCAAAAGACCTTGCAAACTCGTGTGTGCCATCTGGGTTGTGCTGGGCCACGGTCTGGCACCACTTCCTGACTCCCAGTGGCACCGACTCTCAAAGTCTAAGGTGTATCCTGGAGCACCCCCCACCCCCCAGAGATCCCAGTGCCTGGAATAGGTGGCAGAGCCCAGCCCTGAGCTGCTGCTGGTTTTCAGCAGGAAAGTTGCAGCACAAATCAGCATCAGCCACCAAGATTTCGTCTGTTCGGGAGTTGGCTCTGCTGCAAATGCTAAGCAATGTTCCTGTATGGTTAATATTAGAACTGCAAGATAGTAAATTGTTTTTTTAAAAACATTTATTCATTTATTTGAAAGAGTTACACAGAGAAGGAGAGGCAGAGAGAAAGAGAGAGGTCTTCCATCCACTGCTTTACTCCCCAGATGGCCACAATGGCTGGTGCTGGGCCAATCCGGAGCCAAGAGCTGGGAGCTTCTTCTAGTTCTCCCACGCTGGTGCAGGGGTGCAAGGACTTGGGCCATCTTCCACTGCTTTCCCAGGACATAGCAGAGAGCTGGATTGGAAGTGGAGCAGCCAGGATTTGGACCAATGCCCATATGGGTTGCTGGCACAGCAGAAGGTGGCTTTATCTGCTACAACACAGCGCCACCCCCTTAAATTGCTTGAGATGGCCTTGATCGTGCAGAGTGTGGAGTTAGCACCACAGTTGTATAGACAGGAAACTGCAGCCTGCAGGGAGGTGGGACGTTGCCCAGGGCAAGCTGAGCAGAGCCAGGGTGGGCGGGCTCTCCCCACCTGTCAATCTGCCCCTTAGTAATTGTAATAACCACGCAGGAAGACGTTTCACTGAGAGGTGACTCACGGTCATCTGTCCCACGTCTCTGTAGGGAAGGGTGACGCTATGGGAGGGAGAAGCTTTTCCCGGGAACCTGGCTGACTTTTGCAGTCTGCTAGTCTGCTGAAGTCAGAGTGTGGCGCAGTAGAGGAGGAGGGAGAAGGGGAACGAATGAGATCTGTGGGGTGTGGGTGTGTGTGAGTGTGGTGCATGGGGTGTGTGTGTGGTCTGTGTATGTGTGATGTGTTTGTGGTTGGGGTGTCGTGTGTGTGGTGTGCATGAGGGTGTATATAGTACGGGAGTGTGTATATTGTCTGTTTGGGTGTGGTATGTGTAGGGGTATGTATGTATATATCTGTGTGGCGTGGATGGTATGGGGGTGTTTGGCATGTGTATGTGTGGGGTGTGTATGATGTGGTATGGAGGTATGTGTGTGAGGTGTGTATATGATGTGTGTATGGTGTGGGGTGTGCATGTGATGTGTGTGGTGTGGGAGGTGTGGTATATGTGGAGGGCTATGTGTGGGGTGTGTATGATGTGGGGGGGGTATGTGGGATGTGTGTGTGGTTTGGGTGTGTATGTGTGATGTTGTATGGGGGTGTGTGGGGTGTGCATGTGTGATGTGGGTGTGTGGGGTGTGTATGTGTGTTAATGGAGGATTTTATTCACTGCAGGCTGGACTGCAGGGTGTTCCAGTCTGTTTCTGTCTCCACTGTTTTGCATGGAGTAGCAGAGAGGTGGACCAGAGTTGACTTCTGCGAGAGCACCGGGGTGCCATCACAGTCTCCGGTGTAACTCACTTGGCTTTCAGTCCTGACGCCTTCCCGTGAGCCCGGCTGCGGCTGTCACAGTTGCCACGCAGGCAGCCTCAGCTTCTTGGCTGCCCTCACGAGGAAGGGCACCAGGGAGCCTTCTGGGTCCCTTGATAAACTTGGTTCTCGGCCCTCAGGGCACTTGGAGCCAGCTCCGCCTTCAGCCCATCCTGGACTCAGCCAGACCTCCCTCCTGAGAGAGCCAGCATCTGACAGGGCTGGTGGTCCGGCTCCTTCCCCTGGGGCTGAGCCGGGCCTCGGAACCCCCCTGCAGGCCCCGCTCCCTATTTTGCAGATGGAATCAGGGATGTCCTTGCGGAGAGGGGCGGAACACGGCGGGTTGTGTAGAGACCAGTGAGAACTGTGCGGTAAGACAGTACGGGTGGTGCTCGCACACTGCCCTCTGGTGACCTCCTCCTCCTCTCTCACCCGGAGTGGAATCATCACAGCGGGAATCTCTCAGGGGCATCCCCCGTGCTGCCCTGCTCCGGACGTGCCCTGTCCCTCCTCGTCCCCTGCACACACCTGTGGTGTGGCCGCGGGAGATCCCGGGGAGGAGAAACAACGCCCACGTGACAGCGTCTCCAAGGGGCCCCTGGGTCCCATTTCCACCACTTGTGCTCAACATCCTGCTACAGAGAAGTGAGACTGGGCAGGCCCGGAGGCCTCAGCGGCACCAAGCCTGTCATCGCTCTGCCCTCTCCCTGCGCGCTGGTTGAGGAAAGTCCATGAGGGTCTTCAGAAAGATCGTGGGAGACGAGCATTAGGAAAAGCACTATGTGTGGGCTGTGAAAAGTTGTTGCACCAAAATGAACATCCTTAATTCCACTTTCCACACACTTTTTGTAGCACCTTATCTGCTTCCTCCATGCTCAGGTGCTGGCTTACTTAGTAAGCTCCTTCTGTATACAGGCTTCCTGAGCTCGGGAGAAGCCTGTGTACAGATGAAAGAGATGAGATAAATCCACCAGCAATGAGTGGAGTTCTGAGAAAGATGTGTGTGCGGTACCTCCAGGCTCTGCCTTCCCCTCCCTTCTCCAGACTCTTGTCCTGCGTGTTGAAAATGCAGTGCCAGGAGTCGGCCGGCCTGTCCATGGCTGTGCTCCCCTGCAGTGCTGAGACAAGCAGCAAGATGCCTGCACTGAGACGCTGGGGGGCTGCTCAGACTCACCCCGGAAACGGGAGCCAGGCCGAGAGGCAGGCTGTAGTTTGGCCCCCCAACCTCTCTTCTCAGGAAGCATCTACTGGGGTGGGGGTGGGGGTGCTGGCATTCCCAGTGTGGCGGGCCCTGGGCACGCTGGGCCGCCCACGGAAGCGGAGGCTCCCCTGTGCTCTGGAGGTGCCTGGCCCTCCCTAAGGCTGGCCGAGCCCTTGCAGGCCCTTCTCGCTGCTTCCCAGAGCTCTGCTCCCGGGCAAGCAGCACCTCCAGTGCCGTCTGAGCCTCCCCTTCTGCCCACAGCCAGCATGCCCACCAGCGAGACCGAGTCTGTGAACACGGAGAACGTCAGTGGCGAAGGCGAGACGCAGGGCTGCTGTGGGAGTCTCTGGTGAGTGCGGCGGCCGTGGGGGAGGGAGCAGTGAGGAGGAGACCCCAGGTTGCAGGGGAGCCAGGACCCCGGGTTTGGGGTGGGCGTGGGTGTGGGTTCCCACATCGCTTGGCCCCCTGAAGCACCGCAGGTTTTCACCGCCTCTCCCTGCTGAGAGGTCCCTGCGGGGTGCGCCCGGGAAGGGCGTGCCAGATAACCCGGCCTCCGCTGTGTCCATTAGGTGCTGGTGGAGAAGAAGAGGCGCAGCCACGGCGGGGCCCTCGGGGTGTCGGCGGTGGGGGTAAAGGCCTGTTCTCTTCTGAGTCCAGGGTTGGCATCTGCGCTTGGGACGAAGAGCTTGTTGGATGGCAGAGGCCCTCCCCAGGGTGCTCCCCCCATTTAAGGGTGCCTTCACCCCCGGGGCCTTCCTGCCCTCCCCTAGCGGCTGGGAACCAGGCCCTGCCTTCCTCTGCACGCGGCACTTCTCTCCTGGAGCCCTGCACTACCCTCTCCTCACGGTGGAGGTCTCATCCCATTAACAGCACAGGCTCGTTCTAGAGCGGGTGCCAGCAGTGTGCCGTGCAGCCAGGGACGGCCTGTCGCGGCCAGCCCAGTGCCCTCTGTTCTGCTGGTTCGCTTCCCGCTGCTACCCTTTAGGTCTTGCCTCCTGCAAGTACAGGCATAGTTGTAAGTGTTCATTTACTTGCTCTTACTAATTGTTTTGAAAGGCAGAGCAACAGAGAGAAAGAGACACACCGAGAGAAGGATCTTCCATCTGTGGATTTGCTCCCCCCAAATGCCCACAACAGCCAGTGCTTAGCCAGGCTGACACCAGGAGCCTGGAACTCCTTCCAGGTCACCCAGGCAGGTGGCAGGGACTCAGTATTTGAGCCATGGTCTGAGACCTCCCAAGGGTGCACTAGCAGGAAGTTGGGTCATAAGGGGAGTAGCCAAGGCTCAAACTGGCACTCCCATGCAGGATGCCGGCCTCCCAAGCGGTGGCTTAGTCTGCAGTACCCCAGCGCCCACCCCCGGGCACAGTTCATAAGAGAACTCAATCCTGTCCCTGGCAGCGTTTCCTAGAAACGACGTGCTGTGAGCAGAATACCCAACAATTCATGATGCGATTTGGCCTCTGCCCTCTTGCCCTCCCTCCCCTGCTACGTCATGAAGTAGGCACGGGTTGGGTTTGTCTTCCCTGTTGTGCAGATGAAAACAGTGAGATACTGCTTTCATGTCCTCACCCGGTTAGCAACAGCACTGCCAGGACTCCTCGGATGCTGCGCAGGCTGGGGGAGGGGAGGCCCCGCTGGCTGCAGTTTGGGTGGGTGGGGACAGAATCCTCGTGACTGCCTGGAGGAACCTCACTGAGTCTTCTCCTGCCCGGGCCCTCGAGGGTGCTCGGCCTGGCCACCTGGCACCGGCAGCACCTCCCTGTCCTGCTCTACCCTTGTCCCGGGCAGCCTGCTGCATTACCGGTGCTGCTGAGTGCAGGCTGCGTGCATGGCTTTCACCGTAGCTCAGCTGCCATGGTGGGGAACGGTGCTCACGCCATCCCAGCGGGACTCTTAACTTTGTCTTTTTTTGTGTGTCTTTCTTTCAGTCAAGCCATCTCAAAGTCCAAACTCAGGTCAGTATCTATACGTTTTTAGCTCTGTGTTCTGACATAGAACTGCTCTAGACTTGAGTTTTACTCTGTCTGAGACTGAATCAGTCCACAAAACAGGACGTGCTGCCCTGGGGAACAGTCCTGGGGCCACTGAAGCGCTCTCCCTGCAAACCCACAACCTCCGCACAGTAACCAACGTGTTTTGTCTCCCAAGCAATCCTTCTTCGTATTCTCCGAGTGGTTTCTCTAAGGGAGATTACTTCTCGTGACTTCTTATCTCAAAGGCTTTCCATGACAGAGTTCAAGAAGTCTGCTAAGGTCCTGGTGATGCAGGTTGTGCATTCAGTCGGTACAACGCTCTGAGCCATAGACCTACGATTTGTGTCCCTTTCTATGTAAAGGCTGTTTTTCATGGGTAGTCATTTACCACTATATGCAAACATTAACTCAAAAATGGATGTAGAACTAAATAGAAAACCCAGAACTATACAAATTCTAGAAGAAAATAGAAAATATCTGTGACCTGAGGTTAGGCAAAGGTTTCTTAAGATAAAACACAGCAATGCACAATGCGTAGCAGAAAAAAAATTGATAAATTGGGCTTCATCAGATTAAAACTCCTTCAAATGAAGTTAAAAAAAAATAGGTCTCAGACTAGGAGAGAAATATTTGCAAACCATACTTCATAAAGAACTGACATCTGGGTACATATGAAGAATCATGCCAGTGATAAGAAAACCCAATAAAAAATGGGTGAAGCATTTAAATAGGCTTGTCACCAAAGAGATAGGAATGACAAATGAGCACACGTGATGACCATCAGTAGTTAGGAAAATGTAAATGAAGATCACAATTAACTAGCATTGCACAGTAGATCTAATTTAAATACCTGACAGTAGATGCTGATAAATGGGTATTTTCCTGTGATGCTGGGAGACTGATGCACGTGTCATGTGGCACAACCATTGTTTTAAGAAATGGTTTGGTAATTTCTTATGAGGCATTTCTTGTAAAGTTTAAGTATATTTACAATATGGGCTGGCAGTTCCACATCGATGGTGTTTATAGAAGGGAAATGGGAAAGAAATGTACTTAAACACAAAAAGGATGTTTACACAGATGTTGATAGCATCGTTGTTGTCACCCCAAGTTGGAAGTACCCCAAGCGTCAGATGCTGAATGGGGAGACCCATTGTGGTTTGCCCACATGACAGAATCACAGTTACCAGTAGGAAGGGGAAATGACGGGTGCGTGTAGCCACATGGAAGAACCCTGCCAGCGTTTCTGCTCAGTGAAAGAGGCTGGTGTGAGAAGGCTGCACCTTGCAGGACTGATGGTCTGCATGAAGACAGTCGGGACAGAAAACAGACACATTGTCATCGGGGGCTGGCGCTGGGCACTGTGGGGCGGCCACAGAGGAACTTCCCAGATGGGTGGAAATATTCTGTGTCCTCATTGTGTGTACTTGAAGAGGATAACCCTTACTGTATGCAAGTTCTATCTCCGTAAACATCATTAAAGCAAACAGTAAAACCATCAGACAGCCCTGCTGTGGCTGTGTTACCAGAGAGCATCTGTCCGTCACTTGGCCCAGGCTCCCGCCCTGCCTCACAGTGCCAGCTTTGTGGCCACACTGGACTGTCCTCAGCTACAGGGGTCACATGCTGTGCACCTTGCCACTGCAGTCCCTGGGCTGTGCTGTCTCCTCTGGGTCATAGCCCTTCCCCGGGCCCCCTGGATGGTTCCCACACGTGGTCAGGGTGAACCCTGTCTCCTTTTTGAAGACTTCACTGACTTTTGAAAGGACATTCAAGGCCCCTTTTTCCTTCCTTCCTTCCTTCTTTCTTTCTTTCTTTTTTTTTTGTCAGTTTTGCTTATTTAAAAGGCAGCCTTAGAGAAGGAGAGACAGAGACAGATCTTCTGCCCTCTGGTTCATTTCTCAGATGGCTGTAATGGCTGTGGCTGAGCACTTGGGCCATCTTCTGCTTTCCCAGGTGCATTAGAAGGGAGCTGGATGGAAAGTGGAGCAGCTGGGACTTGAACCTGTGCTCATAAGGGATGCCAGTATTGCAGGTGGCAGCTTAACCTGCTGCTGCCACAACATTGGCCACTATGGCTCCTTTTTCTTTTCTTCTGGGGCTGCACCCTAGGAGTAACACTTGGTATGAATTTCTAATCGTGACTTATCATCACCCTGTGTGATTTTCAGGGACAGGGACTGTGGGACTATGACCGTTTCTGCCCACAGCCAGACACCTAATGCTCAAGGCCTTTGGTCTCTGAAAGAGCAGGCCTGGCCACCTGGGCACTCAGCCCAGTGAGGGGCGAGATGGGGGTGCTGCAGGAGTCTAGGACGTGGGGCATGAGCTCTCCTGAACGTAAGGGATACCTGTGCCTTGTCACCAGAGCCTAAGACGCAAGGGGGCTTCAATAAGTTCAGGGAAATGGAATTTAAAGGTAAGTTTAGTTTGGTGCAAAACAATTGAAATCCATGCATGCACAGGATTATCAACAAATGCATGAAAAATCTGTATTATGAAAAACAGCCTGAATTTAAAAATGTTTCGCACCATAATAAACTTGATTTTTAACTCCACTTCCCACAAACTTTTTGAAGAACATTTGTGAACCCTAAAGGCTGGGTCTTGTTGGGCCCACCTTGCTTTGTGTGCCCTGAATTATGCACCCCGGGAGAAGCCCAGCTATGAGTGGGATGGAGTGTTCAGGTCCTCAGGAGTTTCCCATGCAGGTCATCACGTTTCTAGCTGCTTTGGCCATTGGAAACCGAGCAGCAAGAGCAGTAACAAGACGCACCTTGCTCGCTCCAGGTCGTCCTGAAGAGTTAGCAAAACTTGCTTTGTTCACTTTCTGGGTACAGTTTCTTTCTTTCTTCTTCTTCTTTTCTTTGTTTTATGGGACAGGCAGAGTTAGACAGTGAGAGAGAGAGAGAGAAAGGTCTTCCTTCCGTTGGTCCACCCTCCGCCCAGATGGCTGCTATGGCTGGCGCGCTGCACCAATCTGAAGCCAGGAGCCAGGTGCTTCCTCCAGGTCTCCCATGCGGGTGCAGGCCCCAAGCACTTGGGCCATCCTCCACTGCACTCCCAGGCCACAGCAGAGAGCTGGACTGGAAGAGGGGCAACCGGGACAGAATCCGGTGCCCCGACCAGGACTAGAACCCGGGGTGCCGGCGCTGCAGGTGGAGAATTAGCTTAGTGAGCCGCGGTGCTGGCCTGAGTTTTTTGTTTAGCTGAGTCAGCCAGGGCTGCAGCTCGGGCACAGCCTGGAGACTGCTCTTGAACCCAGGCCCCCATCCCTTCCAGTGAGGCCTGGCAGCCTGAGAGGCAAGACTTTGTCTCTCAGCTGGCCCTCCCCTGGGATCCAGGTCAGTGAGTAGCAGCTCACGCCACAGTTCACCAAAACGTCACCTCATGGTGGGGAATGGTTTCCACTGGGAGACAAGCTAAGGGAGAGAACATTTTCCCTGGTTGCAAACAGCAACTGAAGGAGGGCAGAGGACACGCTCCTTGTCTGTTTGGCTCAACTCATTTCATTTTTGGGAAAACGCAGGTCAATACTGTCTCTTCTCCTAAAGGTAGACTTTGAGCGTCCCTGGTTAGTAAGGGCACCTGGGAACTCAGTGCCAGGACTCATCCCTACTCAGCTCTGCTGACTCCCCGGGCTCTGGAGGAACCTGAGAGACTTCAGAAAGGACTTGGAGGTTCTCTAGAGGAATGAGCGTGATTTTGGAGCCCATTGCTGCCTGATAGATTGTGCGGGGTGACTGAGGTGCTGCAGGAGGTGTGCTGTCAGTTAAGTGGCTCTCTGCCCCAGTAGCACAGACAGATCGACACACACACACACACAGACACACACGGTGGAGGTGAGCTGCCTGTGTGTGCAAGTGCACCTGTGCCTCTGCACAAGGATCTGTGAATATCTAGAATTTGGCTCTCAGAGGACAGCTTGTGACTGAGAGTTCTCGAAAGCCGTAGAAAGCAAACAAGAGTATGGTCAAGATGATGCTTTTGAAGACCAAGATGCTGTTGTGGGACCAGCATCACTTAGATGATGAGGTCTGTTTCTATGCACCCCACCTCAGTCGGCACGTCCAGAATGAGAGCTCAGCTATGTCCCCGTGGTGTCGAGGGGACCCCGAGAGGCCGGGCAGTAACATGTGCTCATCTTGCAGCCGGCGCTGGCGTCGCTGGAATCGCTTCAGCCGCAGGAGGTGCCGGGCCGCCGTGAAGTCTGTCACGTTTTACTGGCTGGTGATCGTCCTGGTGTTTCTCAACACCCTAACCATCTCCTCCGAGCACTACAATCAGCCGGACTGGTTGACGCAGATTCAAGGTATAAGCAGAAGCCATTTTCGTGGGGTTCTTAGTTAAGAGTCCTGGGGCTGTCCAGCTGCCGTCCATTCTCACCCGATGGGCGTGCAGTGATGTATTGGGCCAGTTCTAGCCAGCACTTGTTCAGAGGACACTGGGACCATCCCAGCACAGGCCAGCGCCGGCTCCTGGGAGTGACTGAGGCCACACTTCTCGTCCTACTCCAAGACAGCCTTTCCTCCAGGAATCTTGGAGTTGCAAGGACCTCCTCCCCGCCCCCACTGGAGGCATCATTGGCCCCCGTAGTACTCTGGGCCAGGGCCTCTGGTGCCTCTGCTTTGAGACCCTCAGCAGCAGGGTGCAGAGAGCTGGTGTAGCCTGTTCTAGGTTGCACAGTCGTGAGCCTTTGAGACTCCTCCGTTACCTCTAATCCAGCCTTTGCTTCCCCCTCTCCAGCCTGCAACAAGGTATTTCCTGCTGTTAGAAATGACACGGATAGGCAACTGTTTCTGATACCATGGTGCTAAATTGTGTGTGTGTGTGTGTGAAAGGAAAATACATGAATATCTAAAGGTGAGAATCGGAGGCTTTTCGGACTAGAACGTTTCAGAGGCTGTGAGATAAGCTGCCCTTCCTGGTTTTATATTTGGTGAAACTAAGGCCCAGCAGTCAAGTGACTCCTCCAGGGTCGTGCGTCTTGCTGGTCGCAGGAGCAGAGTGCCCGTCAGCGGGAATGCCCCGTTTCTGACGTGGGGACAGGAGCAGAGAGGGCCCGATGCTGGGTGTGTCCTGCTCCTGGTCAGGAGGAGCCTGAGCGTCCCCTGCACTGAGACTTGTGGGACGGGCACCCTTTGTCTTTGCAGACATCGCTAACAAGGTCCTTCTGGCCCTGTTCACCTGTGAGATGCTGGTGAAGATGTACAGCCTGGGTCTGCAGGCGTATTTCGTGTCTCTCTTCAACCGATTTGATTGCTTTGTGGTGTGCGGTGGGATTACGGAGACCATCTTAGTGGAGCTGGAGATCATGTCGCCCCTGGGCATCTCTGTGTTCCGGTGTGTGCGCCTTTTACGAATCTTCAAGGTGACCAGGTAAGGAAGCCATGGCTCGCCGCAAGCGACCTCCTGGCTGGTGGCGGTCTGCTCTGTCCCACGGCCTCCTCTCCCTCGCAGGCACTGGACTTCTCTGAGCAACCTAGTGGCGTCCTTGTTGAACTCCATGAAGTCCATCGCTTCGCTGCTGCTTCTGCTCTTCCTCTTCATCATCATCTTTTCCCTGCTCGGGATGCAGCTGTTCGGCGGCAAGTTTAACTTTGACGAGACGCAGACCAAGCGGAGCACCTTCGACAACTTCCCCCAGGCGCTCCTGACGGTGTTCCAGGTGAGTGCTCCCTCCCTGTGTGCGGCAGGTGCACCCGGGAAGGGGCAGCCCAGACTCCTGGGCCTCGTGTCTGCTCACAGCTCAGTGAGGCGTGGAAGAGCCCGTTTCTGTGAACAACCTCTGCCCTCATGTGTTTTGCACCACTGCCTTGTTGGACGCCCTCCCCCCGGGGATCCGTGTGAGGTGATGTGATGAAATACTGCCGTGTTGCAGAATAGGAAACCAAGAGTCTGTGGTTTGGTTTTGTGAGGTTTCTGGGCTGAGTTCCGATGGCAGGCAGATTTATGAGCCTAGCAATGACAGACTGATGGAAAGAAGTGAGTTCTGAAGAAGCCCAGGCATTTTGGTGTGGAGTCGGAGGCATCGGGGCGGTGAGGGCCGAGGCAGCCTCCTGCCCCATCTGCCCCTGCTGCTGTAGTGGATCCCAGGGTGCACGGGTGACTCTGCCACCCAGAGCAGGTGCACATTCTGCACCTTCCCCGCCTGCGAGCTGAGGTCTTCCAGGCCCCCCTTTCTGAGCGCAGTCCTTCCCTTGGACAGTGCCTGACAGCTGACTTTAAAAGACCCACCTGCCCCCGATGCCTCTGGCGTGCTGTGAGCCAGCCTCATAGTCCTGCTGGAGAGCAGAGGCGGTGTGGGAAAGGTGGTGCACAGGTGCGTCCATGGTGGCTGTTTCTCTGTGCGCAGGCCCCAGACCTCCGTCGAGTCACCTGCTCTTCTCTGTAGAAACACAGGGACTGCCCTCTAAGATTCTTGCCCACTTGTATGGCACTGCTGCTTGGGGCCAAGGTTTTGTTTTCCAAATTAAGCTGCAGTTTGGGCTGCTGGTCAGTCATTGTTTTTTCGAGTTTGTTTCAGAGCAGCCTGTGTCTGTCTCTATTTTGGTACCGTGTGCATGGGACACACCATGCAAACGTTACAAAGAAACACAAGATGGCCGCTTGTTTCCTCCTGCGGGGAGCAGCTGCAGCCTGCCTGCCCGCCTGGCCGTGGGTGAGCTCCCGGGCCACAGCTCCCCCTCCAGAATGTTCTGTATCTCACTTTTTTTGGTCACAGCGTTCCCCCCAAGAGCTTTCCTGCTTGGTCCTTCCTTTTAAGAGCTGCCTGAGTTCTGTGGTATACCGGGATAACCGGTCCCTTCCTGAGGAATGTGTGGTCGTGTCCAGTCTTGGGTTTGTAGGACAGATCCCCAGAAGCAGAATTCCTGGGGCGTAGGGTGTGCCTGTTGTGCACTGTGACACCCTTGCCACAGCGCTCTCCTCTGGGTCCTTTGCATCTGCGGTGGGCGCTGCCCGCTGTCCCACCTTCTTTTACTGTGGGTGCACTGCTGCCTGATAGATAACAACAGTGCCTCATTGTCCTTGGGATGCCTCTGCTTGGCAGTGAAGCTGAGTGTCTTTCAATAGGACTAACCTCCAGGCCTTCCTTTTCTCTGAAGTACTTTATCTCTGTCAATCATTTACCCATTTTTTCTGTTTGATGGTGAGTCACAAGTTTGAATTTTTAAAATATGTAATCCAGATAAGAGATAAAGAATCTCTCTTCCTCTCCCTTGACCCCACTCCACCCCACCAACCGAAGATAGCTTGTTCCAAACTCGCTGTCAGTTGTCATCTGATTCTATTTCGTGATAGAGTGAATTCCCAAGCATCGTCAGTAGAAATGCTTAAACTCGAACTTTCCCGGGGTTGCTGGTCTCCACTCTTCAGGTAGTCGGGAAAGTTGCGTGCAGCATTTGAAATCCCCCACTTGTAAAAGCTGTAGAAGAGAAGCCTCCAGTTCCACGGCTGATTGTGTGGAATGCTGTGTGGCAGTTACAGGAACGAGATGAGCAGGCTGACACAAAGCATCCAGGGTGCATTGCTACTTGAGTAAAAAAGCCAGTTGCTGCAGAATTCCTCTACTCTGCTACCCTTTATGTCTAAAAATCCAGACAGGGCACCGACCGAGCGCTTGCTTTCCGTGGGTGAATGTGGGTTCAACCCACAGAGACCCCGGGGAGACACAGCAGTGGCGTGCTCCCTGGGTAGAGGACGACAGCCAGCCTAGGGTGGTGTCAAAAGGTATATACGTCTCATAGATCAAGTCATTTTCTTTACAATGGACAAACCAGCTCCTCTGTTTGTGTCGTTAAAAATGGTGTTTTGAAAATCCTGCGGGGTAACAGATGGATCTGTTCAGTGCAAACTGGACTGTGAAGAGCAGCCCAAAACAGGGCTCGGCAGCCGCCAGCGAGCTCGGGGGAGCCGCTGTGAGTGGCGGGTCCTCCTCCTGGCTGATGGTGGCCTCGGCGTCTCAGATTCTGACAGGGGAAGACTGGAACGCCGTGATGTACGACGGCATCATGGCGTACGGCGGCCCGTCCTCCTCGGGAATGATCGTGTGCATCTACTTCATCATCCTCTTCATCTGTGGCAACTGTATCCTTCACGCCCACGGGGGCTCCGGGGGCGAGGACCCTCTCCTTCTGTTGGACCCCCTCGGGGGCTCCCTGGTAGGAGGGTGGCCATGGTGGGGGGAGGTGAATGTCTTTCCCATCTCATTCAGCCTCTGCTTGGCTCCCACGTTGCTGGGGAGCTGCGTTGTGTAAGAGGAGTCAGCAAGGCTTGCAGGAACGGTGGCCAGCTGGTGACACAGCACATGCGCAGGTGCCTGTCTGTGTCGCAGGCAGGTGCCGCGGGACAAGGGCAGAGCCAGGAGGTGGTTCTTTTGTCACGGCCCTGCAGAGCTTGGAGGGATGTCTGTGACCCACAGGAAGCCTTCTGCAGTGGACTGACCCGAGCCTGGATTTGCCCTGCTGGCCTGTGCTTTGGGGGCGTCGCGTGTCCACTGGCTAGCTGCCGTGTCATGCTGTGTCCCTCTGCTCAGACTCCCTGCATTCCTTTTCCTTCCCGGGGAGGTCCTCTGTAACCCTCAGTCTGTATTTACCTCTACCGGACACTTTCCCGTGTCTGCTGCTCTCTCACTCCTCCATGCCGAGCGCGAGACCTGGGATACGGAGGCCCTCCGCAGCGAGGGCGTGGTGAGTGAGCGATTGTGCCCCTGCTTGGTCGCCACGCTTCCATCTCAGAGTCCTGGGCTGCGGCCGTCTGCTCGGTCGGCCCAGTCTCCTTGGACTCATTCATGTAGTTTCTGGGGTGTGGCAACCCCAGGACAAACCTGCCTTGTTTTCTATAGGGAAAAAGCTTTGTGCTGCCAGGAGCTCTCTGAAAACCCCGCCCCAGCGCCTACACTCCCTACTGGTCCCTTGGTGCAGCTCTGAGGCCCCCTCCTCCAGGCAGCCCCCCTGCTCTGCCTACCAGCCACAGAGGAGCTCCCATCAGATGGCACCAATACGGCTCTTGCTGGCGTGGTTTACTTCTTATAAGAAAGACTCTGCATGGATTTCCATTTCTCCATGAACTTCAGGAAACACCTCATAAACAGCATTACAGCACAACCTAGAGAAAGGGATGATGTGTTTAAGTGTCTAAATTTTACCATTCACAGAAATCAAGGTTAACTGGATGACAAAAGGTCCAGTCACAGTAGGACTCCTCAGATGGCTCAGCACAGCGCCGCCCGTCAGCAGTTAGCCTTGCTGTATTCGGTCAGGGTTGGTGGGGTGAAGGAGTGAACAAGTTATCCACAGACTCCTGAATGCCGTCTGAGAGGAGAAAGTCCCAGGGCAGGCGTCTGGCCCAGCGGTTAAGATGCCCGTGGCGATGCCCACATCCCTGAGCATGGTGCCTGGGTTCCAGTCCCAGCTCTGTTCCTGATTCCAGCTTCCTGCTGATGCATATATTGCTGGGAGGCACCAGGTCGTGGCTCGAGTAGTTGGGTTCCTGCCACCCATGTGAGAGACCTACATGAAGTTCCCAGCTCCTGGCTTTGGCCTGGTCCAATCACAGCTATTGTGGGCAGTTGGAGAGTGAACCAATGGATGGGAGCTCTCTGTCTCTCAAAGTAAAAAAAATTTGAAAAAAGAGAAAGTCTTACGCCATCTTGTGCATTGGGCTCTTCCTTCAAATACACAGCCCTTGAAGGAGTCCTCTGTTGAAAGAACTTCCTTGGATATATGTTGGATGTTTCTAAAATCACACTGTGTTTATGTATGGGTTGTTTTATACAATGGACTTCATCGCTGTAGATCCATAGGTGTTTGGAGATACATACCCACAGGCGGTGGGACGTGCAGGTTGTCATGGGTTTCAGTGAATCTCAGTTCCCTTTCTTTCCAGATTGTCTTCTGGAGGTTTCTAGTTTCATTAAGCAATCAAACAAAAGGAAAACCAGGACTGTGGTCCACTGGCGTTGCCAAGTGAACAGAGTACTGGGAACAGTTCACCTCCCAGAAGGCAGAGGGTATGACGTGGCTGTTGTGACCAGGTGTGGCTGCCTTAGCCCTGTTTTGTATCTTGGAGTGAGCATTTGGCCAGGCGGTTAAGATGCCTCTTAGGATGCCCAGGTTTGGGTCCCAGCTCTGCTGACAAGTCCAGCTTCCCACTGATGCCCTCTGGGAGGCAGCAAGTTATGGCCTAAGGAATCTGGTCCCTGCCACCAATGTGGGAGACCAAAGTTAAGTTCCCAGCTCCTAGCTTTTGCCTGGCTGTACTGCAGGCATTGCAGGCATTTGGGGAGTGAACCAGCAAATGGGAGATCTCTTTGTCTCTCTTTTCCTGTCTTGGCCTTTTGAGTAAAGTAAAATGAACAAACATTTTTCTGTGTGTGAAGAAATGTGTTACACCCTTAAAAAATTCAAATTAGATATTCTACTGAACGTCTTCTTGGCCATCGCTGTAGACAATCTGGCTGATGCTGAAAGTCTGAACACTGCTCAGAAGGAAGAAGCCGAGGAGAAAGAAAGGAAAAAGATTGCCAGGTAACCGTATTTTCACCTGGGCTGCTTCCTCAGGGGCTCTGCAGAGGAGCCCGTGCACCTGAGTCCTGGCCGACTCAGGGGCTCCCCGGGAGCAGCGGCCCCGTGCCCCTGCTCTGCCGTGACTCTCGGAGCCGTGTGGTGCAGACCAAAGCAAAGGCACTGCTGGGCAGAAGCCAGGCCCTTGGCTCTCGTCCCTCGGAGCTGAGAATGGGAGTCAGGATCCTTGTGCTCACAGAAGCACTGCTGTTAATTCTGGCCTCATACAGCACATGGTGCGTTCAGTGCTGATTAGCTCCTGCACGAGAACGGTAATGAGACTGTCTGTGTAATGCATGTGTGGCGTTGCGGTGGGCAGGCAGCTCTGAGGTGGGCCGGTGCTGTGTTCTCGCCGTGAGTGTGGTTTCCAATCAGATTCCATCCTTCGCGGAGCACTGTGGATTCAGAATCCTGATGAGCATTCGTGTACATAGTATCATGGTTGTTAGGTTATTTGTTGTTTTCTCTTCCATCCAGGAAAGAGAGCCTAGAAAATAAAAAGAACAGCAAACCAGAAGTCAACCAGATAGCCAACAGCGAAAACAAGGTATTCCTTCTAAAATACGGCTTCCCCAGTGCTGAAAAGCGGTGGTCTGGGCCGCTCCAAAAACAGACCGTTCACCCTGGGAAAGATGGCTGTGCACCACACCTGCCACATGTTGGGGCAAAGAAAGAGTGGAGCATCCCGTGCACAGCTGGCTTCTCAAGCTGCTCCTGATTGAATGTGGGCAGTTGGCTGACTGTTCAACAAGACAGCCAACGTGAGAAACGGTGACCAGTTTGATGGCTTCTTTTTTCTTTCCTGGAATTACGTGGTCAGACCTGGCCTTGGCGGGGTGTGTGTGTGTGTGTGTGTGTGTGTGTCAAGATCTTGTTGGCGTCTCAAGTGGCTCCCTTCGGGATTCGGGAATCAGGTGGCCTGGGTGGCCTCAGGGCTCTGCCTGTCAAACTTCGTCTCACTGATGGCAGCTCTGGATGCTTGTCCGTTGAGTTCATAACTTCGGAGGGACTGCCCTGGTTCAGGCACTGGGGGCTGATGAATGTGGAAGATCGCCTATGTCCCTGCCTTCATGGCACTCCTGTTCCAGCAGGGAGACAGGTGTTTAAGATGCAGTTGGCACATGGCCTGTGTGACCGTGTGTGTGCCCACAAACCACAGCTGGCTCAGAGGTAAGCCAGCTGTCTCTTCGTCTGTCCTCAGACCTCCTGTATCAAATAGGACCGCCCTCCGGGGCCATCTGCCTCTCCCGCCACACTCACAGGTGCTTTCGGGAGAAATTCCACAGCCTCTGCTGAACGGCAGGGCTGACTTCCCTTCGGCCTCCTGGACTGTGTCTAGGCCAGAGCCCCCACTCCTCCTGAGATGTCTCTGTCGTCCTAGGTTACCATTGATGACTATCGAGAGGAGGATGAAGACAAGGACCCCTATCCACCTTGTGATGTGCCAGGTATGGTGGTGGAGGCCCGAGACAGGCCTGGAGCTCCCGAGCCCTGTGGCTTTGCCACTACCCTGTGATTAGCTGACTCTGAGCGTGGCCTGGCTGAGGCCGCCAAAGCCATGGTCACAGTTGCCATGTGGAACGGATGGCTCCAGGTCTTCCCATGGTCACAGGCAGCCTACGTTAAGCCAGCTTCCTGATGGGAAGGGGGACGTGTGGGTAGATCAGACAGCCAGCCCCATTGGTGGTTGGCTCTCACTTGACAAGTGCCTTTATGGTGATGGTGGTGCGAGCCTAGGGCCTGGTGGCTATGACCCCAAGACCCACACATGGGTCAGAAGGCTGAGTTAAGGGTGTCAGGTGCTGGGAGGGATGGAGTGAGAATCCCACTGCTACTGCCTTTTGTCTCTGCTGGTCACATCTTCCATGTATGCACACCTCATTGCTGCCTCCAAACTCCCCCTAGACAGCGACTCAGCCCAGCTCCTCTGGGTTATGCACGGCCTGGAATCTGTAGGAGTGGGGGCGTTTGGTTCAGTGGAAGCCGAGAGTCTTTGTTCAAGCATAAGCCAGATTTTCATGAGAATTTGAGAATAGTAATCTGTACGTGATCTCCGTTTCATGCCTATTAAAAAAGTGTTTGATTTAAAGTAGGTGAAGAGGAAGAGGAGGAGGAAGAGGATGAGCCTGAGGTTCCTGCTGGTCCCCGTCCTCGCAGAATCTCGGAGTTGAACATGAAGGAGAAGATTGCCCCCATCCCCGAAGGGAGTGCTTTCTTCATTCTTAGCAAGACCAACCCGTAAGTAGTACCGCCTTTCCCATCCCATCAGCGCCACGTCTCTCCGGTGACCCTGCGTGCGATTTGGGGCGGGGTGGAGTTGGGGGGTGGGGAGTGGGCACTGGGCTGAGGGAAGGTGGGTCCCAGCCCCTTCTGAACCCGAGGCTTCTGGGAGCCCCCGGATCCCGCCGACCCCTGTCCTGCTCCAGTGTTGCCGTGGCCCTCAGTTCATCTCTTCTGAGCCCTCTTCTTCCTGCGAGGGTGTGGCCAGTCCTGGGAAGAGTGCTGTTCTAGACTCTGCTTCCCCCCTCAGCCCTGCGTCGTCGCAGCCCCAAGGGGAAGTGCCCTGTGTGGTCCTCTTGGGGACCCTGTAGTAATGCGTGGCCCCTGCCAGGCTGCGCTGCGGGGTGAGACTTCACCCTGAGATCCCATTTAGTTGACTGTTCCCCCTCCCACCTTTATTGAGTTCTAGGTGATAAAATGGTACTGCCCAGTGGTATTTCATAGGTTGTAAGCATTCATCTCAGCCCTGTGATACTCTGCTTAAAATAGCATTTCTCATGTTAAAATGATAAGGTGCTCACGAGGAACATGGCAATGACTCACAAGTACTGCAAGAGGAAGGAGTTTATTTACTAGCTGGCTTCTAGGTTTTAAATCATCGGGAATTAAGTGAAATGCCAGGGGTGTGTAAATGACTCCTGGAACTGTTTCTAGACTTGCAGTCGTGGTTTTTGGCTGTCAGATGATGAGCTTGTGATGTAACTGCCGGCCCTTGGGAGTCGCTGGTAGGAGGCAAGGCGTGTTGGAGTCCTCAGAGATGAGGTTTTTTTTTTTTTTTTTTAAGATTTATTTATTTATTTATTTGAAAGGCAGAGCCAGAGAGAGAGGTCTTCCATCCACTGGTTCACTCCCCAAATGGCTGCAACAGCCAGAGCTGGGCCGATCCAAAGCCAGGAACTTGGAGCTTCTTCTGGGTCTCCCATGCAGGTGCAGGGGTCCGAGCACTTGGGCCATCTTCTGCTGCTTTCCAGGCCGTAGCAGTGCTGGATCAGAAGTGATGCAGCTGGGACTAGAACCAGCACCCATACGGGATGCTGGCACTGCAGGCAGCAGCTTTACCTGCTCTGCCACTGCGCTGGCCCCTGATGTGGGTTTTACAGCTCCTCACTGGTTGTTCTTTGGAAAGAAAAAAAGGTGTGGGGGGTTTGTTATTAAATTGTTATAGCCACATTTCCAGCTCACTGCTGGTGCATGGTACTGAGAGAATGGGTTGACTTTCTCCCAAATCTGTGGGCACCTTGGCCTTCAGCAGGGAAGGGCCTTTTCAGACTCAGTTGCTGACAGCTTGAGGCCCTGCAGGGGCTACACCCAGCAGTAAGTGGCCTTAGAAAGAGAGCTACGTGCAAAGTTGACTCCAGTTTGGAAAATGAAAAAAAGAATTTTTTCAGAGAAAACATACCCATATTCATTGGTCAGACAGTGTTTAATTCCAAAGGCCAGCATGGGGGTGAGGTCAGAGAGGTCCTCGCTAGCTCCTGGCACAGCAAGGGCAGTGGGAGTGGTGGTGGTGGGCTGAGAACCATTGTCAGAGCCCCAGACCTGAGCTACGGAACCCAGCGTCCCACCTCGCCTTGTGGGACCCCAGCACACACCTCACAAACTCAGTGATGCCGTGCACAACGATCCATGCCTGTTAGCAAATGATGGAGCTGTCACTTCATTTTATTTTTCTTTAAAGATTTTATTATTTGAAAGGCAGCTGCAGAGAGAGAGAGAGAGAGAGAGAGAGAGAGAGATCTTCCACCTACTGATTCACTCCCCGAATAACTGCAAAGGCCAGGCTGGAGCCAAGAACCAGGAGCTTCACTGGGGGTCTGCCATGTGGGTACAGGGGCCCAAGTACTTTGGCCATCCTCTGCTGCTTTCCCAGGCGCATTAGCAGGGAGCTGGATCAGAAGTGGAGCAGCCAGGACACGAACCAGTGCCCATATCAGGTGCTGGCACCACAGGCAGGTGGCTTAACTCACTGCACCACAATGTTGGCCCCTCATTTCATTTTCTGAGGACTGCTTGTGGTGGGCCAACTCTCCAATTACAACATAACCTTTATGGCAAAATCTCCACACAACAGGCGGTTTCTCCAAAGCCTCACTAGCTGCAGCCCATCATTTTAATACAGCACACCCCCTCCCTGCCCCAATTCATTGAATTGCTTTAAAGAATTAAGTGGACCAATTCAATGTTTATTTTCATCTACTTGAAAGGCAGAGAGAGAAATCGTCCATGGGCTGGTTCACTGCCCACATGGTGATTCAGCCAGGACTATGTGAGGCCATAGCCAAGGGCCTGGAGCTCCATCTGGGTCTCCCACAGGGGTGGCTGGGGCCCAGCGCTGCCTCTGCCTCCCAGAATGCATCAGCTGGAAGCAGGATGAGAAGCAGAGTGACCAGGACTGGAACTGGAGCTCCAATAAGAGATGCAGACCTCCCAAGTGGCAACGCATTGACTGTACCACAGTGCCCGCCCTGGCACATCAAATTGAACAGGATTTAATGGAGCAAAGAAGGATGCATGGATCAGACAGCCCCTAGCACCAAAAGAGGTTCAGAGAGCTCCACTCCTCAATGCGGGCAGGCAGCATTTGTGGACAGAAAACAGAAGCGAGGCAGAGAAAGAACTGGCCTGGTAATAGCTGGGTGTTGGCCTTACTTGGGCCTAATCTTGTCACAGCCAGGTGACCGGCTGGGCTTCATGTTGTAGTGGACCAGCTTCAGGCAGAGCTGGGTTGGAAATCCTCCCTGGGCCTTACCACAGCTGAAAAGAAGGTTCTTCCCTCTCCCAAAGGAACGGAAGCCTCAATTTTCCCACCTGTAGTAGGGCATTACTCTCCACTTGTAAAGACGCAGGGAAATGCTCTTTGTGCAGCTCTGAGCCCAGAGCCACAGGGGCTGCCGGTGGGAGTGGGTATTGTTGGGGGAATGGTCATGCCACCCTGCTGTCCTGGTTGGCAAGTGTGGGGGTCCCTGCCTGATCTCTCACGGTAGCAGCCCCCACTCCTAAGGACCCCAAAGGGACCGTGCCCCTGACTGTCCCTGCAGGGTCCGTGTGGGCTGTCACAAACTCATCAACCACCACATCTTCACCAACCTCATCCTGGTTTTCATCATGCTGAGCAGCGCCGCCCTGGCCGCCGAGGACCCCATCCGCAGCCACTCCTTCCGGAACACGGTGAGGCCCCGGGGGAGGGGGGGTGGCCTCGCTCCCAGCCACCATCCCAGGGCCCGGGAGGCTAAAGTCGGAGCAGGCATCTGGCTCAGCTGGAAATGTTTTCTGCTGCTGGACTGCATGGGCCGAGCGCCTGGGCTTCGTCTACAATCGTCACGGCAGTGGTTTTTCTGCCCGTTTCAAATCCTCTCCGCCTTGGGGAGGACCTGATTCCCCTCTTGGATCCTCGCTGCTAATGTTTCTATTCCCCTGCTGGTCAGATTCACCTTCACCCCTAACTGGGGATCTGGGCCTAGTGGGAGCAGAAAAGTAGGCAGAAAGTAACATGGAAAGTGGGCCTGCCACACACACGCTCAGGGCTCTTTGCAGCCCCGAGGGTTGATGGATTAGACTTACGTCTTGGGTGGACTCAAACACAGCAAGCTGCCCGGCCCATCCGCGTTACTCAGAAGCAACACAGGCCGCATTGCTTGGCAACTTGTTCCGAGAAATGCATCCTTAAGCGAGCATCACAGTGCGTGTAGACAGCCTAAGGCAGCCGGGAGGTCACCAGGGACCGCCGTGGTGGGCCCAGCAGTCCCTGTGCCATGTGTGACTACACAAGCAAGGGGAGTGCTGGGTGTTGAGGGGGAGCTGGAGGTTTTGGTGTGGCGGGAGGTGTTTGTTCTGAGCAAACAAGCAGAGGGGGTCATTTTCTGTTGTTAAGCAGCTTGAGGTCTTAAGGCTGGCACTCTCTGGCTGCCTCCGTGCTGGAGAGAAACTCGGACCTGGATTAGCTTTTGGCTCAGCAGCCCCTTCGTAGGTGGCAGGACAGCTGGCTCAGTGAGACAGGAGCCCACGAGGTCCAGCAGCTGCCACCTCGCAGGCCTAATTGTGCGTGTCCGTGCTGGTGACAACCAAGGTGCCCCCAGGAGCGAGCAGCCAGCGCAGGCCTGAGGCCTCCAAGAGTGGCGACCTCACTGGGTCCCGCCTCTCTCTACACGTCAGATTGTTGGAGGGTTGAGGATGCAGGCACGTTGTGGTGATGGCCAAGCCCTCCTGCAGTTGCCCCCCGCTTCTCAATCTCTCTGATTAGTTGACATGAAGATAAGACACACGTCCTCCCCTTGCACAGGTTGGTGGCCCTGTCAAAAGCACAGAGCCTCTGTCAATCTGTCCTTGCAGTTGAGGTCTTCTGAGGGAGATCTGCAGGGCTGTCTCTGGGCATTCAAAGGCAATGGACATCATCAGAGTGACACACACGGGGGAAAAGTCACCACAGGACAGAGGAGGCCTGGGTCAGTGTGGAGAGCCGAACCATGAGGAGTTCCTCTACTCGGTGTTCTCTCTCTCTATCGTGATCCTGTCTTCATGGCTGCTTTCCCCCAACACATTACTGTTCTTCACTGATAGACAAATGTGTGCCTGTGGCTTGCAGCTGCTGTGACAGGCTGTGTGGCCCTGAGCAGGTGCCACCATCCTGCGTCCAGCGGCCACATTGGTTTAGTCAGGGAAGGAGCCCTGGGTGGTCCCCACAGGCCCTTCCACCGTTGGTCTCCTCTTTTGATACTCAAGAGCACTTGTCAGGAAGATCAGTGGCCAAGACCATCTGAGCTGCTGCTGGAGTCTTGGCTGCCAGCTTTGAGGCTGAGGGTGCTTGGTGCCCAGTGCCCAGCCGTATGCAGTGGTCAGACTGCCTGTTGCCAGCCTGTTGGCCCCAAATCCTTGCCTCCATGGCACTGAGGAGAAGCAGGGGCCCCACAAGGAGCTACCAGGACTTCATTGACTAATGGGTGGTATTTTGAGGAAGGCTGATGATAGAGGAACTAAGACTGGAAATTCATTGCCACGCCCATTGTTTGAGTTGACCCAGCGAGACACCCAGTCAGCTGTGCAGGGAGCGAGGTGTGAGAGCAGCAGCAGGCCGGAAGGAGACAAGTGGGTCCAGCTATGCCCGGAAGCCCCAACAGCCCAGCATCCAGCTGCATGGATGAGTGTTCATTCCCAGATCCAGCAGGCTGGCGTGCAAGGGGAAACGCACAAGGCGAGGTCCCTCTTAATGCCACCAGCATCTTTGTTTATGTTTCTCCACCACCCGACACCCAGCTGGAGGGCAGCATGCTTGGTACGAGCTAAAGATGCAAAATCACGCGAGACTGTGATTTATCCGGTGCCACAAGTAGCTTGTAGGTGTCTCACTGTGACGACAGGAAGTCGATAGGTGCTTTTAGAAATGGGCCTCAGTCTAGCCGAGATTTGAGCCCAGGAAACCATCGGCTAGTGGCTAATGGAGATGAGGATGCCTAAGCCCTCTCCGTTGGTCCTCACCACCGGCTGTGGGTGTTCGCGCCTTGGCACCCAGCCCCTGGACGGTAGGGTTCTCCGGGGGGAAGCTGTCTGTGGCTGCATGTTGGGGGCCAACCCCTGGGTGAGTCGTTGTCAAGTGGGTCCGGATGCTGTTGTCTCATTTCCACGTGTTGTCCCTTGCAGATACTGGGTTACTTTGACTATGCTTTCACAGCCATCTTTACTGTCGAAATCCTCTTGAAGGTAATGTCTTTTTCATTGATGCACGCCTGCTGGAAAACAGCTGTAGCCATAATAGTTGCAATTGTGTGTTTGCCTTGCAGATGCTAGGTTATGCAGATTATGTCTTCACTGGTACTTTTGCATTTGAGATCGTTTTGAAGGTAACAGGTTACCTGGCCGTGTGTTTAAGGACCTGCCCCCTGCGTGTGAGACACAGGAAAGCAGCGTGAAGTGCTTTTGACTTTGGATTTTTTTTGACTTTGTTCTTCTGTGATCAAGCTAAACTTTTTTTTTTTTTTAATGAAAGAACTTTTTTTTATTTTTCCCTGTGACCATTCCAACCTGTTTTTTTGCTGTTTCTTTGTAATATGTGAATGCATGTAGGAGCTGCTTTGACTTCCTGATAATGGTTGGAAATTATATTTTGTTTCCTTTAAAAAAAAAAAAAAACCACAGTCTCTGGAAAGTGTCAGCTGGAAACAGACGTGTCACTGTGCGTGAACTTCCTTCCTGCCGTCCAGATATCCACACTGGAGGAAAGGTCCTTACTGGGGCCGGAAGGACACCCTTCCTGTTTCCCTGACCGCCTTAAGCTTTCCATGTCCTAAAATAGTAACATGCTATTTTCTTGCAATAGGATTTGCAAGGTAACCTGAGTCCATTTGTGTTGGGAGATTTTCTGTCCGTTTTAATGGATGGGCTTACATTTAAACAAATAAAAGGAACACCCTCCAGACAGGGCCACCTAAATGTAGTGCCCATGCATGAGCTCATGGCTGCCCTTGCTGCGTGTGGTTTGTGCACTGCCTGCAGCGGCCATGCCACCGGGAGCTCATTCCCATGTACCTGGAGATCTGGAGAGAGCTGCAAGGTGTGGGTCCCTGGGGTTGTGGGAGAGCGTGGCCTGTGAGAACCACGGAGCGACAGTCCCCTGGCAGGGGCCCAAGCAGGGGAGGAAGACGTGCTGCCCCGATCTTCTTGAAACCCCTTGGGGGTTTCGCTGTTTGCATCTCAGGGGAGATGCGTTTTCTGTGGGATGCTGGCAGAGCTTGAACTCTTCACAAAATCTCCTGTAAAATGAAACCTCAGTTGACCTGGTTTGGAGAGTGGAGGTGTTGGTGTTTTTCTCTCTCTCTCTTTTTTTTGTTGTTCCTGAAACATTTGTGTAAAACCAATCAACTCCCACCTGCTTCAACATTTGTTTAAAAAAATCTGATCAAGATTTGGATCAGGGTTTCTGCCTTTAAAGTCAAGGAATGTGGTGGACGCTGCTGTCCTGAGGCAGAGTTGTGCTGGGGGACAGTGGCCGCCTGGACCCAGGGGTGCAGGACGCACGGGTGGGTGGGTGACTGCACTGCACTGGCCCCTGCTCCCGCCTCCTGCTTGCCTTCTCCGCCTCCAGCTGAAAGGGCAGGTGTTCTGCTTCGATCCTTCTCCTGGTTAATTGAGGTTTTATTTTACTGTCCTCCTTTTTAAGCTGTTAGATGAATGTGTTTACGCTCAGGCTTCAGAGAAAATGAGATTCGGGGTGATTTAAAAAGGGGGGAAACGAGGGATGCTTTATAACGTGTGCAGATTTGCCTCAGTGGCTTAAATCTCCGAAGTCATTGTTCATTTTGAAGGTGTCTTAGAGAATGCAAAATAAGCCAAAACAAGAAGGAGTCGGAACATGAGGATTTGCCAAGAAGCATCTGACCTCTGAAGCTCCGGTTCCTCTGGCAGAGGGGAAGCTGAGGAGGCTTGTCTGTGAAACTCTCTGAAACTGCCATTTTTGTACAACAAAAAGGTGGAAGAGTGGCAATTTCCTGAGACTGTATAATGTTTCCAACTCTGCCTCTTCTCTCCTGTACTTGTCTGAGCTTCCCTCCCACCACGTTATTTTTCTTGATAAATCTTGAAGTCTCTCTATTTTGCTATTTTTTATTTTGGGAGGTTTCTATATGAAATTCTCTTTGCATCCCCAGTAGATAGCCCACTGGAGCACTTGATACAGGTGCTGCAGGTGCACCCGGGGTGGGGCAAGGAAGCAGTGAGACTGACCTAGGTGAGACGCATATGCACCTGGTGCATGCTAGGGTAACAAGGCTTGGAGGAACCCCTGAAAATGGTTGCATCATTAAAGATGCCTAGGAGAAGTAAGGGGCCACTCACCTCATGGGCACTCTACACAGGTGCTTTCATAAGGCCTCACTGGCTCTGCGAGGGCCCCAGAGAGGCCAGCCCAGCACGTCACGGTGAAGTCTACACTGGTCTCTTGTGTCTGAAATAAGCAGCCCTTTCCCTGTTTCTGGGGAAGCCTTGCTGGTTTACCTTTTGGGTTTTCTAACATACACCTGCCCCTCGGTCGTAACTGCCTTGAGATTTTGTGAAGAGCTCAGGTCCCTTTCCCCCTGGGGAGAGTGAGCCGTCACCCACCCAGGCTTCTGCTTCCAGATGACAACGTTTGGAGCTTTCCTGCACAAAGGAGCCTTCTGCAGGAACTACTTCAACCTGCTGGACATGCTGGTCGTTGGCGTGTCTCTGGTGTCGTTTGGGATCCAGTAAGTATTCAGGGGCTGGGGATGTGGGTGTGCGTGTGTGTGCCTGGGACTCTTGGGTGGGATGGGCATAGAAGGGGTTCTGGCAGAAATCACAAAGGCTGGCATCGTTTTAATGAGATGTTTAGTGACACAGGATTGCCCGGTTGGCTTCCAGGGAGCAGAGCGCTGGGGTGGTGCGCATTCTCTTGTGTTTCTAGTTTTCATTCTATGCCTGCTGTTAGGTTGGGCCTCTTCTCTCTGTGGAACATGTTTTCAGCAGAGAGGGAGAGAAGTGTTAAGAGGGAGGCCAGTGGGCTGCCCCAGGGCCTTCCTGGTCCTGGAGCCATGAAGACCTCCTCCCTTGGGACCCCATGTCCTTTCTGTACAGCAAGAGCCTCACACAGCCCCTTCTGCCTGGACAGTACCGCCTCCCCCAGATGTCCATGAGTGGCAGGAGCTGTGACCTTTCTTCTGACCTCAAGCATTGCAGCTTGGAGGGAACTTGGACTAAAAGCCAAGGGCTTAGGTCCTTTCCAAAGCTTTCAGGGGTAACAACAGAGCTGCCTGCTGCCTGTCTGCTGTTTCCCTGTCGCCTGGGCCAGAGGCTCCCAGAGAGCATCAGGTGGCCAGTGAGCACCTGGCCATTAGCTCTCGCACATGAGTACCCATGTGCACACACCCTAAACTGCCAGTCAGTGGAGAGGACCAAGGACTCCTGCCTGAGGGCGCCCTGCAGGTGTAGCTCATGGGACCATTTGCCCCACTTTGTGGAGGCTGCCCCCTTGCTTGGAGCACCTCTACCCTCTGTCTAACCCTTGTTCCTCCTTTGAGACTCACCTGGCTATCATCTCTTCCCTGGGAGGCCTTCCTAGGCTACCTGCCCAGGTCTCCAAAATAAGCATGCAGAACACCTGAAGCTTCAAAGCCAAGTACAACTTAGTGTTTATACTGAACGAAAGGAACGAAGCCAACTGGTCAGTTGTGTGTCTGGTGTGGGCTGTGAGTCGTGGGCAGAGCTCAGCTCCGCTCCACGGGATGCTGGCAAGTGGTGTAGTGACATGAAAGTGGAGGTGAAGCGGAACACTGACCTGTCCATCCACATGACGCTCAGCTTGCTGTCTTACCCTCTTCTTCCCTTAGATCCAGTGCCATCTCCGTTGTGAAGATTCTAAGGGTCTTAAGGGTCCTGAGGCCGCTCAGGGCCATCAACAGAGCGAAAGGACTTAAGGTTCTGATGCCCCTCCCTCAGGCTGGGCTGGCGTCGGGTGGCACCTGCTGGGGGGACTGAGTCTTCTGAGCGAGGCCAGCCCAGGTTATCTGCTTGCAGAGTGCTGCCCAGGGCAGAAGCCATTTACAGATGGGTTATTTCCTTTCCTTCTGGTCACTGAAATTGCTCTTTCATTATGATCACTGCACATGGGCTACTGTCCCATTGTTAGGTATTTCCTTGTGCTTAGTCTGTAAATATATCCTCATGTGGATTCTGCAAAAGGCTGGGGGAGAGGGTGTTGGTTCTTCCTGAGTCCTTTAGGGTGGGGGTCCCTGCATTCCATGTGCCAGGCAGTGCTGTCCCTCAAGCGCTTTTTTAATAAAGTGGCCCTGATGTGCTGAGGGGATCTCCCTGTAGATCTTGTGGAAAACCACAAGAGGATCTCAAAGTTGGAAAGTCACGTAAAAACTCACATAAATGTAGACACTCATAGTTGGTGCACGCTCACCCAGTGGCTACAATAAAAGGGAAAAGTCACGCCCTCCGTCCTTTCCCTGTTCTTCGTCCCCAGCACGTCGTCCAGTGTGTCTTCGTGGCCATCCGGACGATCGGCAACATCATGATCGTCACCACCCTCCTCCAGTTCATGTTTGCCTGCATTGGGGTCCAGTTGTTCAAGGTAGCGGGGGCGGGGGAGTACCTGTCTACGTGAAGCCAGGTGTCCTGTCTTGGAGAAGCCTGCACTTGACTGTCTGTCTGTTTTGTACCCAGGGGAAGTTCTATCGCTGCACGGATGAAGCCAAAAGTAACCCTGAGGAATGTAGGTGAGTGTCGTGAGAGGAGAGAGAGAGCGTGCAAGAGTGGGTAGATAGTGTCAGAGCCTCACTCACTCGAACACCTCACCGGAGTTTTCTGAATGGAAGCAAAGAGATCTGTACTGGGGCCGGTGTTTAGCCTGGTGGGTAAGATGCACACATCCCGCGTCCGAGGACCTGGCTTCATGCCCAGCTCCAGCCCTTGGGAGGCAGCGATGGTGTCTCCAGGGATTGGGTTCCTGCTACCCACATGGAGTCCTGGGTTGAGGTCCTGACTGCCACCTTCAACCCTGAACATTGTAGGCATTTGGGCAGTGGGCCAGCAGATGTGAGTTCTCCATCTGGGTGTGCCTCTGCCCTTCAAATAAAAAATAAAATATTTAAAAAGGCAGTGCTCTGGCTCTGGCCCTCTAGGACCCCAAGGCCTGCTTGTTCAGCTTGTGGTTGAGCAGTTGATGGTCATGTTGCTTTATGAATTGAGATGAAATTCACGTAGCATCAAATCATCCATTTGAACTGCATGTGATCCAGTGGCATTTAGTACAGTCTCATTGTACAGCAATCAAACTACCATCTAATTCCAAAACTTGGTATTCTCATCATCCAAAAAGAGTGGATGGTTGGCTTTTGATGCTTGTTGATGATTCTATAAACTGGAGGGGGAAAAAATCCTTATTATTTTTTTAAAAATTTATTTGAAAGGCAGAGATACAGAGAGAGCGAGTGCTTCTATCCTTTGTTTCATTCCCCAAATGGCCGAAACAGCTGGGGCTGGGCCTGGGCCAGGCTGAAGCTAGGAGACAGGAGTCTCCTCTGGGTCTCCCATGTGTGTGCAGGGGCCCAAGGACTTGGGCCACCTTCTACTGCTTTCCCAGGCACATTAGCAGGGAGCTGGATTGGAAGTAGAACAGCTGGGACTCGAACTGGTGCCCATAGGGTATGCCAGCACTGCAGGTGGAGGCTTAGCCTTCAATGCCACATCACTGCCCTGGGCAAAACCCTTACATAGTGATTATTAATTGTCCCTGAATCAGTCCTCTCACAGCCATGTAGACCACTCCTCTCCAGGTCAGAACTTACAGCTCAGCTCCCTGGTGTCCCAGGGCTGGTCTCCCTCTGCTGGCACATTTTCTAGACTCCCTCTCCCCTTGCTCCTGTCACCTATGTGTTGGCCGTGTTTCCATTCACAGGAACTGGCAGTGGAGAGACAAGGTGGGAGGTGTTCGTGCCTCTTTTCCAAGACACTGACTTGCAGAGGGCTACTGCCCCAAGCGTACAACTGTGCAGAAGTCTCTGTGTCACTGGCCCCGGGAGGTGCAGCCAAGCCACTTGTGTTGGTTCAGGGTTTCTTTAAAGTGGACACTGTGGTCACAGAGCACCAGTTGCACTTTGTGGCTGCACAACTCCAGAGTTGCTGGTGACACAGGCTGTGTGGTGCAGTGTGCCCTGGAGCTGAGCACCACAGCAGCGGAGTGGAGACGCCATCCTTTCCCTCTCGAAACCTCTGCTTCCTCACCTCTGAAATCAGGATATCAGATTTCATCCCTCGGGTTCTTTTCAGTGGTAAAGTTCTATCAGGAATACTGGGTACCGGGCAGGTGTTTGGGACAGCCCGACTGGGACTCACGCATCCCCCGTGGGAGTCCCTAGGTTTGAGTCCTGGCTCTGTCTGATTCAGCTTCTTGCTAATGCACACCCTGCCAGGCAGCAGGTGGTGGCTCAAGCTATTGGGCCCGTGCCACTCACATAGGAGACCCAGATTGGTTTCCTTGCTCCTGGGTGCCCCCTGGCCCAGCACCAGCTGTTGGGGGCATTTGGGGAGTGAACCAGTGCATGGAAGATCTCTCTCTCTCTCTCTCTCTCCCTTTCAAATAAAAAAAAAAGTTAACAAAAAGAAATTCTGTGTGCCAGAAATTTTGGAGTTCTTTTGGAAAGAAAGTTAGAAATCTTGTTAGTAGGAAGTGAAAGAAATTAAAAAAAATTTTTTTTTAAGATTGACTGATTTATTTGAAAGAAAGATGGAGAGAGAAGGAAATATCTTCTGTCCACTGGTTCACTTCCCTGATGGCTGTAATGGCCTGGGCTGAGTCAGGCCAAAGCTGGGAGCTGGATAGCAGGGACCCCAACACTTGGTCCATCTTCCATTGCTTTTCCCGGGCCATGAGCAAGGAGCTGGCCAGGAAGTAGAGCAGCCGGGACACAAACCAGTGCCCATATGGGATGCCGGTGTTGCAGGCAGCAGCTGTACCTGCCCTGTCACAACACTGGCCCTGAGAAGAAGATCTGATTAAACCCGAAGTGGAGGGCTTCCACATACCTGTTTCCCAGAGCTTGTGGGGTTTTCCATGGCTGAAGCTTTGACTCTGTACTGTGTAGTTTGAGAAACATGTACTGTTCAGTACTTGTTATTTGTTGGCAGGTATGAAGGCTTCACAAAGTTAATGGAAAACTGAATTATTTATTATTTGAAAGACAGAGTTACAGAGAGGCAGAGAGAGAGGTCTTCAGTCCACTGGTTCACTCCCCAAATGGCTGCAACAGCTGGAGCTGTGCTGATCTGAAGCTAGGAGCCAGGAGCTTCTTCTGGGTCTCCCACATGGGTGCAGGGGCTGAAGAACTTGGGCCATATTCTATTGCTTTCCCAGGCCATAGCAGAGAGCTGGATTGGAAGTTGAGCAACCAGGACTTGAACCCATATGGGACTCCAGCACTGCAGGCGGCAAGCCTTACCCGCTACACCACAGCACCAGCCCCCTTTTATTATTTTTAAAATTACTTATTTGAGAGGCAGAGAGACAGGGCCTGGGGCTTGGCCAGAGTATGCTGGGAGCCATGAACTCAATCCATGTCTCCCACATGGACAGCAGGAACCCAAGTACTTGAATCATCACACGCTGTCTCCCAGGGAGCACATTAGCAGGAACTAGAATTGAGAGTAGAGCTGTGGCTTGAACCCAAGTGCTCCAATACGGCATGTGGGCATCCCAAGCATTTTCTTAATGGCTGAGCCTAATGCCCGCCACCCACTGTATCTTTTCATTCTCTCTTTCCCGGAGCTCTTTAAAGTTCCTGCATCCATACTGGGAATCCACCTGTCGGCTCTGGGCCCTACGTGGCACTGGTTATTTGGGGGCTGCTAGATCTGGAGAGGAGACTTTAAAGGGAGGGGCCTGTGCCTGCTCGGGGGTGTGGCCAGGCCGCCAGGGCCTGTGACAGATGGAGCGCTAGTTCTGCCTGTCACATGGGAAGCCAGCTCAGCTCACACTTCTTTCCTCCTCCAGGGGCCTTTTCATCCTCTACAAGGACGGGGATGTCGATAGCCCCGTGGTGCGGGAGAGGATCTGGCAAAACAGCGACTTCAACTTTGACAACGTCCTGTCTGCTATGATGGCGCTCTTCACGGTCTCCACGTTTGAGGGCTGGCCTGCGTAAGTGCAGGGCACGCACGCTCTTCCTGGTCAGGGGGCTGGGGCCGAGGCCTCCTTCCTGGCGCAGTGGATGGTGGTATTCAACTGTCTGAAATTGAAATTGAGGTGAAGTCTGCAAACGTGAGATCAGCCGTAAGCACATGGTTGTGCGAGCAGCAGCTCTGTAGAGTGGTAAAGCCTTCCTGCTGTCCTAAAAGCAGGCCTAGATGCCCTTCTGCGCACTCGCAGGCTTGTCCTGGGATGTGGGGGCACCTGTCAATCACCACTTGGCCCGTGAGGCTCCTCCTGGATAGGCCAGAGGTTGACTGCAGTGACCTGAGGCCTGCCGATGGGGCTCCCAGGTGTGTGAAGAGGGGGGCTGCACGTCCCGGGCAGCATCTTTGGACAAGACTGGGGAGTGCCTTCTGCTCTTGCTAAAGAGAGTCTTGCTAGTGTCCCACAGCATGCACTCACTCCCGGTGCTGATGAGTACCAGCGTGTGCAGGATGTGGACGGTTGCCACTGACCATTCCTTGCAGTGAGGCACTTGCTCGCTGCTTCATAAAATGTGATCCTGGTCCCAGTGCCGTGCAGTGTGCTGTGGCAGGTGCGGCGGGGGACAGTGTGGAGAGAGCATGACTAACAGGTCCCAGGGTGCAGGTGACAGGTGGAGGAATAGCTCTCTCAAGGGCTCCAGCACAGTAGGCTCACCGTGGTCAGCAGTGGGTAATGGCACCTATCAAAACAGCTGCTGGAGGGGGTTTTGAATGTTCTCAACACAACGGGTAGGCATCTGCAATGGTGGACATGCCAGCTGCCCTGATCTGATCATTACCCTGGCACACTGCGTCCGTGTGTTGAAGTTCCCACTGTGCCTCACGTGTATGGTTGTCATGTGTCAGTTGGCAAGTTGGAGCATTAGGGGGTCCAGCCAGGAAGGGAAAAAAAAAAAAAAACCTAGGCCTGGAGAATGGCAGAGACCCATGTGGGGCGCAGGAGAGGGACAGAATGAGAGGTGAAGGCACAGTACAGGAGGCAGGCTCTCTGCCCTCCAGGGTCCAAGGAGGAGCAAGCCCCGGCGGTCTACAAAGCACTGACTGTGGCATCACGTGGTGAACACTGTGCTGTGGCAGCTGAGGGCAGGGAACAAAGCCGGGGCTTGGAGGAGCGGGGCTCGTCTCCAGCTCTGCCCCTGAGATGTGTGACCTCGGGTGCTTGGCTCCATTTCTGAGCATTGAAGAGGCGGCCTTGACCCTGCTGTCTGCCTTCCCACAAGGGCATGGGGGCGCTAGGAGAGGATGTGAAAGTGCCCACACCATGTATGTGGGGGGTGGGTGCCCCATGGTTGGGGAAGTGCTGAATCTGCATAAGAGTAGGGATGAGCCGAATTTGCCCAATTCCTGCCGAGGGTTCTGCTTGGCATCCGTTTACCTTGGGTGCATGCTTTGGTTTGGGAAGCCGCCCACAGTTCTTTGGAAACACGCGGGGTGCTTGCAGCTGGCCTTTGCCACTGAGCACACAACTTTCGGTTCCCGCGGTGACTCGTGGGTGGTGATCTTCCTCTCTGAGTTGAAGGGAGCCTCCCTGGTGGATTGTGGCAGCTCTTGATTTCATTCTCCAACACCATCCCTCAATGATTATTTCTCAGGAGCCGCTCTCCCAGGTGCTGGCTGGGTTTTGGAGTGGGCGCCTGTCCGGGGGTGTGGCTTCTCCCAGTGGGGCCTCAGAACTCTGGGGCCTTCCTGCTGGACAGGCCTGGCAGGTCCTCAGGTGGCTCTCTGCCCTCCAGGTTGCTGTACAAAGCCATCGACTCCAACGGAGAGAACGTGGGCCCTGTCTACAACCACCGCGTGGAGATCTCCATCTTCTTCATCATCTACATCATCATCGTCGCTTTCTTCATGATGAACATCTTTGTGGGCTTTGTCATCGTGACATTTCAGGAGCAGGGAGAAAAAGAGTATAAGAACTGTGAGCTGGACAAAAATCAGGTTAAAGTCACACGCTGTTTGGGCTTCTGTCCCTGAGCCAGAGCCAAGTGCCTTCTCTTCTGATCACTTCCCCTTGCACAGAGCAGGGCACCCACCTCCCGGCTGTCCCTGAGTCTAGGACCCCATTCGGAGCAGGCTGTAGGGGCCCACGCACCCATCAGACTTGGTGATGGTGAGGTCCGTCCCCAGGCCTGGTGGTGAGGAGCCAGAGAACACCAGTGCCATGTGGGGTGGCCATAGCCCCACGTAGCTCTGGATCCTGGGTGCCGAGTCTGTCCCATTCAGACTCTCACAGTCCTTACTTGGGACTGAGTTTCTTAACTTTGGCGCTGTTGACATTCCAGGTGGGATCATCCTGCACGGTGGGCGCTGTCCTGTGTGTTGGCAGGACGTTTAGCAGCCTCCCTCGACCCCTAGATGCTGCGGCAGCCCCTTCCCCCAGTAAGGAGCGACCACAGCCCACAGCATCTCCCGACCTTGCCGAATGTCCTCTGGGCGTAGGGTTCAGGGGTGGTTGCCCCTGGTAGGTCACTGCGGACCTCAGGGGGGGTGCCCTGTGACCCCACAAAGCAACCTTTCAGCTTGGCACTAAGCTCGCCGTGCCCTTGTTCCTTCTTTATCTAGTGCCTTGTTTGAAGCAGTCGAGTAGAGAGAGGAGCCTTGGGCTCCGATTATGTTGGCTCGGGGGAGCCGTGAGCCTTTGAAGCCGGCTCTGTGCTGGTGCACCTGCTCTGTGACATGGTGCTCCCCACTGCTCTCTGGGGCTTGCTCCCTTATCTACACTGGAGGCCCCGGGAGCTGCTCTCGGGAGGCCCCTTTCAGCCCTAGTGCAGTATCTGTGAGATCGAGATGCTGTTGGGGGAGTTTCCCCCACTTCTGCTATCTCGAGCTTCTCTGCTCTGGTGATGCCGCAGCAAGCAAGAACAATCTGGCCGCTGCCGGGCTTGCAGGAGGAAGTGGCTGGGGTGTGGGCAGGCAGCCTGCACCACGGGGAACATGGCAACGAGCTGCCTGGTTTGTAGGGTTCTTTCCAAGCTTGTCAGAATGTCTTTGCAGACTGCACCCACTAGGGTCCGAGGGAGGCCTGGTCCAGCTCTCTGCCCATCCACGGAAGCTTAACTGAAGGACAGGCCTAGGCAGGGTCAGCCCCTGAGACCCCTGGCGCCCATGCCTGAGGTCAGAGCAGCACCAAAATCAGACATCGGGAGCCTGTAGAAAAGCTGCACCCAATCCAATCCAGGCAGGCAGGCAGGCAGGGCCTCGAGGCTGAGCCAAAGGCTTCCCAGCTGCAGGTCCCCCTGGGGCTGCTGCAGAGGATGGAGCAGTGTTTGTCCCCAGAACCAGGGAGCATGACAGTACTTGTGGCCACGCTTGTCCTGAGGTCTCCCCGGCTGCCATCGCTGGCCACAGCCAGTGAGCTCACCATGAGACAGTCGGGATTCAGCCTTTCTGGCTCTGGAGGGGCATCTCCTGTGAGCCCTCTGAGCCGCCGGGATTGCCAGTGTCAGCTCTCGCTGCACCCCTGGGTCGTGAGGGCCTCTCCCGGGGAGCAGCACGGGCAGGCAGCAGACCTGACCTGGCGCCCAGGAAAGGCGGTGGTCAGTCTGCGCCAGGTCCTCCCCGCTCAGCTCGTTGATGCGAGGGTGCATCAGCCTGTTCCCAGAAAAGGGACTTAGGCTATGTTTAATGTTGGTGCAGAGCACTTGAAATCTCTGCACAGTTTGTTCATAAAATGCATTGAACTTCAGGAAAACCCCACAGAGGCATGGATTTGAAAAATTTTGCCCCCAAGTAAGCTTATCTTTTAATTCCACTTTCCGCATACTTTTTGCAATCCTCACATGTATACTGCAGGTCCTCAGCAAAGACAGCTAAGAGCTTGGAAGCAGGGTTTTCTTAGTAACCAGAGTGGGTGCTCCACTAACTCCCGTGGTGGCTGAGCTGAGCACAGATGGTGCTGGGGGGGCCGGCCCTCTGAGTGACGCAGAGCGTTTTCATCGTGGTCCGCACGCCCTGCCCAGGAGGTGCCGGGTGAGCTCTCGCAGAGCAGGGGACCCCGGGTCTGTGTCCCTGGAAGTGCTCAGAACCCCGTCTCCCCCCTTTCTGCCGTTGCAGCGTCAGTGCGTTGAGTACGCCTTGAAAGCACGTCCCCTGCGGAGATACATCCCCAAAAACCCCTACCAGTACAAGTTCTGGTACGTGGTGAACTCCTCGCCTTTCGAATACATGATGTTTGTCCTCATCATGCTCAACACACTCTGCTTGGCCATGCAGGTAAAAATGCAGACAGCCGTGGGGGTCAGGTCTGGGCATTCCGCACAGCCCCGATCCCCAAATGCTGAGGGCGGAGCGCTGCCCCACGCGTGAGAGCAGGGGCGTGATTTTTTGATGAGTGTGGGCTGTGGTGTGGCCAGAGTCCCGTCCTGGCTGATGGTTGTCACGGTAGGAGTTCAAGATCGCTCAGTGTTAGGAATGCCTGGGCCACCTGGTGGAGCGTGCTGTCCTGCACGGTGGGCGCTGGAGCGTGAGTGAGTGTGGCGTTCGAGTCTGTCCTCCTCTGCTGTGGCCTCCTGGGGCCAGCCAGAGGCCGGGCGCCATAGCTCTGGGGTTGGACAGGCAGGAGTTTCAATCCTGATTGCACCCCTCACGCACTAGATGCTCTTGGGAAAGTCAGTGGAAGTCTCTGAGCCTTGCTTTCTTTATTGGTAACACAGGAAAATCCATCACACCCCCGTCAGCAATAAAGTCTATGCCGGGTGATCATGTCAGGCTCCCAAGCTGTGTGCCTGTCCCTCAGGGGCTCTGGGGGAAGGGAGAGGAATTTTCCAGAACATGAAGTGTGCGGTCCAACTTGAAGTATGGCCGCTTCTGTATTTCAGACGCAAGGACTTAACCACGCTGTGATTAGCCAGGTCACATTACAGTGTGGCGACTCGCAGTGGACATGCCCTGGGACACGAGGCAAAGAGCAAAGTCCAGAGGCAGTTGCTGCCTGACTTGAATAGATCAAACAAACTCGCGGTGCTGTCTGGGAAGTGGGTCGAAAGGTAGCTAGGGCGAACGCGCCAACGCTTCTGGCATTTCTGCTGATGGAAGAGTTCTTGTTGAATGAGAAGGACCCAGTGCTGATGTAGGGAGAAGCACGAGGGCCAGAGGGTTCCGTCTTTTACTGAACAGAGACCTGCCGGGGAGAAGCTAGCCCTAACCACACTCTGCCTTTGTTTGTAGACGTTTGGAGGCATCTGCATGTGCCTCGGCCGAGGGCCAGACTGTAAGCCCTGCCAGAAGAAGGGGGTAGAGTCCCTTTGTCCTGAGAGTTTCCCCTTCATCATTCAGTCATCCTCATCTTGTCACGGAGCCCTGCGCTTTGTGGGAGTTCACCGTGTGACCTCGCGGTGCGGTGCCAGTGGTGCCAGTGCTGGGAGCAGGCGGGAGCGTCCGCCAGCGAGGGTGCAGCGTCCCAGCCGAGGCCCTGAGCCCCCTGCCTCTGTCTCCCCACACAGCACTACGAGCAGTCCAAAATGTTCAACGACGCCATGGACATCCTGAACATGGTCTTCACCGGGGTGTTCACCGTCGAGATGGTTCTGAAAGTCATCGCGTTTAAGCCCAAGGTGAGTTGCTGGCCCCGCTCTGCAGAGGCTGTCGCTTGCAGCTCACCCCAGGGAAGCCCCCGTGTGCTGCCTGCATTAAGCAGCCCGGTGCTGGCCGCGAGCCGAGAGCGGTGAAATCTGGCGAGGGCCTCCGTAGACACATGGGAAAAGAACTGTGCAAAAGCACGACCTCACGCAGTCGGTCCTGAGGGCGAGAAGGGAGGAGAGAACGGGGAGTCTGTAGAGTGGGGGCTTCGCACCCGGGTTTTCTGCCTCTGGAACAGCGTGTTGTGCCCTGCCTCCTGACTTGAGCCCCGAGGAAAACGTCTGAACCCGCAGAAAGAACTCGCCCTCGTTTTTCACTTTCAGCTTCGCAGCGTACAGACGTGGCCTTGGATCTGTAGCATCCCTTTGACCTTTTACAGCACGCTCCGCGGCCGGCTCCAGACCCTCTCATAGCCAGGCTGCCTTGCATTTCCCTTAGAAATATTTCCCTGGCCTCTAGGACAAAATAGGATGTGGGGTTTCTGCAACTGTGTCGGACCACTCAGCACGCTGGGTCCCCTCTGGGAGGGAGTGATCTCCAGCCGTGCTCGCCGACGGCTGCGGGGTGAGCGGCAGTGTAGTGCAGTGTCGAGGAGCCCAGTTCCAGGACTGGACTGCGCCCAGAGCCCTGCCCTGCCACTTGCCCGGTTAAAAGTGGTCACCTCCCTGCTGTCAGCCTCGATGGCCTCTGCCCTGTGATAGTCCAGTGGGAGGAGGCCGTGGTGAGCAGTGAGGAATCTCTGTCTAGGCAGTGCTTGGAAGACGTGCATAGACGGTCTGCTGGCACCGCTCTTGACATTGCCATCATCACCGTCAAGCAGTAAGGCCCCCTCATTCTGAAACCCTAGACAGAGAAGCCGAGCTGAGCTGGGGGGTATGTGACCTCATGCTCTTTCCTAGCAGCGCCCGTAACTCTTAGAGAAAAATGACAGGGCCCAGTGCCCCGTCCACTGGCTCTCTGTGTGTTGGGTATCTGACAACACCAATGTCAGCAAGATGTGGATTAAGAAATAGCTGGTTTCCTGTACTCCACGGTTCCATTAACTCCTAATTCCATACTGTTCCTTTCTTTGATTTGAATTAATTTCTCTGCAAACTTTATCAGATCTTTGTGGACCAAAAAGAAAGGACTTTTGTAAGTGATTAATGGGGCGATTGCAGTGGGGTCAAATTTTGGCGCCTTATGCATGGCCAGATGTTGCCTACTGTGACTTGTCCATATCTGCACACATCGACATTCCCTGCTTTCCCCAATCCATCTTAATTTCCTTTGAAATTTTGGTTTGCTTCCCTCCTGCCTCTGTCTACTCCTTTCAACAATATTTGCCAGGACTGATGGAAAAGGTTACAAAGCAAGAACGTGGCAAGTACTTGAGAAATGTGCCTGGAAAACAGCCGTGCGACATTGCCCAAGTGCCCTGTGGCCTGTCTTCCCTCGCCTGGGGCTTAAGCTCTGAGTTGAGGAGAAGCGTGTGTGTGTGTGTGCGCACGTGCCTGTGTGTTTGAGAGCATGTATACATGTGTGTGCGTGTTGGGGCACACATCTCAAATGGCTGCTTGCGTCCGCTTTGCACAGTGAGCCTCCAAACCTGGAGGAGAGCTTGGTTGTGTGTGAGCAGACAGGGTCACCCAGGGGAAATGAGTAACCAGTTTATAATCAGCACCGATAGATCAGAGTTTTCAAAACGGGTGATTTCCGCTAGAAATGCAACGGCTTTGTAGTTTTACTCAGCGAGATGTTTTTGTAGTGTGAGATGCATGAGAGTACGTTTTAAAAATCTTATCTTTTAATTCCATTTTCCACAGATTACAGAAATATGTTTCTGTGTTTATCTGAGAGGCAGAGAGATGGACAGAGAGAGAGTTCCCATCCACTGAGTCAGTCCTCAAATGACCACAGTGGCCAGGGCTGGGCTAGAGCCAGGAACTTGTCCAGGCCTCTCCTATGGTGGCAGGGAGCCTTCCCTGCTGCCTCCCAGGTTCTGCATCAGCAGGAAGCTGGAGTCTGATGCCTGAGCCGGAAATCAAACCCGAGCTCTCTGCTGCGGGATGTGGGTGTCTGAATGGCCAGGACGCTCGCCTGCACAGAGAGAGCTTGGAAAAGAGCAGCAGCAGTGTTGCCGCGCTGGGAGGCCTCCTTGCTGCATCCACCTATGGGGATAGGGTACACGCGACTGCATGCGTGACTGCATGCGTGGGAGAGAGTCGACTCACCAAGCAGCAAAGCTCTCTTAAAAATCCTTCCTGAACTTTCTTGTTTTTCTCCTCATTGGTGTTAACAAACCAAGCCTGGGCCATTGACCTTTCCCCTCCCCACCCCCAAAAAAAAAACAGAGCCGAGGAGACCCCTCCTTCCTCATCTGTGGCATAATCCAGCTGAGGACAGTGCCACAAAGTCCTCGTGGGCCATCAGCCTGGTCTCAGGAGAGTCTTGTCACAGGAGCTGGACCCGTGTCCGGGGTCAGCTCCCTCCTCAGTGTGCACACCTTCTAGGAAGACTTGCTGCTGTGTCTGTAAGGAGAGAAGGGGATGCAGTTGTTCTGTAAATGAAATGCAGAAAGTGAAACTAGAGAAACTCCTTGCTGGCAGGTGGGTGGCCAGGGTTGAAAGGACCACGGAAATCTCGCCCCTGAAGGCGAGTGTGATACCAGGAATCCAGTTGAGAAACCGGACCTCCTGAGAGGGAAGTGGTCCAGGACCATGTGAGGGGCGAGTCCCCAGTAGCTACAGGCAGAAAGGGCAGGGCTGGGGAGGGGGCCAGAGGTGGGAAATGCGGAGCTGGGGGCTTCTGCGGTCAGGGAGCCATGTCCTTTCCTGAGAAAGGCTGGTTCCTAGTGCTGGTCAGACTCAGAGGGTGATGTGGAACCACAGGCTGAGAGAATCCGGGCCCAGTGGACAGGGCTATGGTTGCTGAATTCCCTTCAGGGGGGAAAACCCACCAGATAGGCCTTGGCTTGGTCCCCTCTGCATCCAGCTTGGCCTCAACGGTGCTGCTGCAGGGTCTTGCAGGGGAAGCCATGATCGACGTAGGAGACGAGCCCTGTCTCTCTGATGTCTCCCTCCAGTCCTCTTGGGAAGCTGCTGGGTTTTTCCCACCAATTCTCTCACTCCGTGGAGGGAGATGGAGGAGGAAAGGCCTTTTGCCAAGTCTCCATCGAGCAGGTGAACTGAGCCTGTGCGGTGGGAAGGGCCCGGTCTGTGCTCCTGGATGTTACCTTTCTGGTGTCGTGTCTGGGACTTGTTCAAGGCCAGGCCACCTGCCACAGTAGTGGGCTTTGCTCTAGGGAGCTCCCAAGTCCCAGTCCATAAGACACATTAAACTTGGTTCTACCCTGAAGATGTCTGATTCATACCCCAGCCACCTGGGTCTCCAAGACAGAGAGTCAAGCAGGGTTTAGGGGCAAAAGGTGGGACTTTGGTGCTGTCCTCTGCTTATGCATAGAGCTCTTGCATAGTGGGCACTGGGTCACCTGGTCCCATCTGTCCCCCAGGACAGGGCCCCTGGCAGGGGGAGGCCATGCTGAGAAGGGCCCAGCAATCTTCCCAGAGTACTGTCTCCACCTTCTAGCAGTCCATCGCCTTAACCACTCGGCCACCTCGTCCCTGTCTCCACCTTCTAGAAAGCAAATTGGATGCTAAGTTCTTTCAGTGATTGATTTTTTAAAATATTTATTTATTTATTTGAAAGAGCTACACAGAGAGAAGGAGAGGGAGGGAGGGAGAGAGAGAGAGAGAGAGAGAAAGAGAGAGGTCTTCCATCCACTGGTTCACTCCCCAATCGACTGCAGTGGCTGGAGCAGTGCTGATCCAAAGGCAGGAGCCAGGAGTTTCTTCTGGGTCTCCCACGCGGGTGCAGGGGCCCAAGGACTTAGGCCATCTTCCACTGCTTTCCCAGGCCATAGCAGAGAGCTGAATCAGAAGTGGAGCAGCCGGGTCTTGAACCAGTGCCCATATGGGATGCCGGTACTCCAGGCCAGGACATTAACCCACTGTGCCACACTGCTGGCCCCATGGTGATTGATTTTTAATGCCAAAGAGTCGCTGAGACCAAATCTCCATGTCCTTAGAATGCTGCACTGGGATCCTGATGGACTCTGTCCATTCCTCCTGTCCCTACAGTGTCAGGGCCTCCCCACGCTCGTTCTACCCAGTGCTTGTCTCCTTGTGAAAAGCACCTGGGCACAGGGCTTCTGCAATCCTGCCCACCAGTTTCTCTCCTGTCTTCCAAGGGATTTCCCTGCCTCTGCCTCCACCTTTGCCTGTGCCACCTTTTCCCTTTGCAAACCCTAGGTGGACCAGGCTACTCTTACAGTGAATTCTGGCACCAGCCACCTATTGATTGAGGGGGAAAATAATTCTCTCAATCTAACACTCAAAAGTCCTGCACGAAACCCTGGCCAGTTACGTGTCTGGTTCATTTCCTGCCACTTCTCCCTGCCAGTCCTTCCCAACCTGGTCCCCAAATGTGCCAGTCCACAGGCACTGGAAGTCGTCCTTCTGCCTTGGTGTCCTTGGTGGCCTGTTTTTACCTGCTCTGTGGCACCATCCCTGCTGGCACAGCCAGAGCAGCCCTGCCCTTGCTGTGTGCATCTGAGATGTTTGGCATGCGTTATCATCATCAACCCGGCCCCATGTCCATCTCTTCATTCTCTAATGAGCAGCTGCTCCAGGTCTGAGCTTGGTCTTGTGCACACAGTGCCTCCCGTGAGGCCTGCTACCTGTTTCCCAGGACAGACAGGTGGAATGAACAAAGCACTAGAGGGAGGAGCCTGTAGGTACAGCTCTTGGCATAAGACACTCCTTGGTTTTCTGTTCTCTGTGAGACACCACTTGACCTTGGAAAGGCTTATGCTCGTCATAGTTTCTATGAAAAGTTGGCACATGGGGCCATCACCTGGGTCGGACACTCCCAGACAGCTGCTGCTGGAAGTTGTTAAGTGACCGGCTGCTGTGGTGAATGGAAGGCCAGGACATTTTTGTGTCTTCCCCAGATCTGGAGAAGAGACTGAATCCTGGCAGCAACATGAACCTGACCTTGGACTGGTTTTCCTGTTTCCCATTTGCACCTGTTCTGCAAATATTACCCTTTAGTCTAGGAATAGCCAGGGCCCAGGCTGTGCCCACTGTTGGGCAGGAGACAGACATTAGCAATCACAGCAGGATTCACAGGAGCTGGTGTCTGGCCTGATGGTTAACATGCGGATAACCCATCTGCATCCCACGTTGGAATACCTGGGTTCTGTGGTCTACTCTGGCATCTGACTCCAGCTTCCTGGCTTTGCAGGCCCTCAGATGTGGCCGTGATGGCTCAGGCAGTTTGGGTCCCTGCCACCTATGTGGGACACTGGAATTGGCTTCCTGGCTCCTGGCTTAAGCTCGCCTAGTCCACTCCCAGCCATTTTGGGCTATTGGGAAGAGAATCAGTGGGTGAGAGCTTGCTTTGTCTATTTCTCAACTGAAAAATAGTTTTTAAATTAAAAATGAACACGTTTCTTAGAAATAATGGAGCTCCTTGGCCCTAAGGCCCACATTACTGCAGTTTCTGGTTTCCCGTTTCCAGAGTCAGTTTCTAAATGATAGGGCTTCCTGCAAGGGGCTGACTTGCTTGATTTGCTCAGGCAGGTGGAGCTGGACAAAATAATAATAATAATAACATGAATAATACTTTGACTGTTGCTTCCACTCAAGAGGCTCTGGCCCCAGAACTCAGTGGTGGGAGAGCGTAGGGGTGGGCCTGTGTCCTGACTTCCCGTGCCTTGGATGGGGAAGGGTGGGCGAGGTGAGTCACGTCTATTTGACAGTTATCTTATTAAATAGGAGGCTACTGAGCAGGCGAAGTGTGTGTGGGAGGAGAGGGACGGCTGGCCTTTCCCGCCTCCCCTGAGCTCCCGTCAGGGCCACCTGCTCAGAGCCTGTGGTACCAGCCACCTGTGGTACCTCAAGACTCCTGTCATCAGGAGTGCCGTGAACCAATAGGACATGGGCTCAGTTTTCTGAGTGTGAGGCACCTTCTGGGGAGAAAGTCAAAGTTCCAACAAGTTCGAGGACCCAAAGAAATATTAAACCCCTGTCTGTTAACATAAATGGATTTGTGCACTATAGTGCCCCAGAATTGCTCCAGTAGTGAAGAGCACACAGGCCGACAGGAGTGACCTAAAGGGGGTCCTCCTGGTAATGAAAGGCACACACACACAGAGACACACACAGACACACATATACATACCACATAGACACACACATACATACACACAGAGGACAGGGGAGAGGACCTGTTCTGTGATAAAACCCCCAAGTGAGAGAGGCTGGTGTCTAGCACACACATAGTGATTTTGGCCTCAATAAGTCACATGAAGAATAAGAGAGAGGCAGAGGGTGTGGCATGGACCCAGGGCCACACTGTGTGCTCCAAAAGCAGGAGAACAGGGAGGGTACTGGGCTTTTCTGTTTTATTTATTTGAAAGGCAGAGTGACAGCTCTCCCATCAACGGATTTATTTCTCCAATGCCTTTAACAGCCAGGGCTGGGCCAGGCTGAAGCCAGGAGCCTGGGACTCAATCTTTGTCTCCCACTCGGGTGGCAGGGACCCAACTACTTGAGCCCTCAGGTGCATTAGCAGGCCGCCGGATTGGAAGTGGAGAAGCTGGGGCTCGGTCTCTCCAGTATGGGATGTGGGCACCCCAAGTGGTACCTTAGCCACCATGCCACAGGTCCACCCCCAAGTGTGCATGCCCCTTGCTGCTCATAGTGAGGCCTTTGATTAAGGTATTGGGTCCTCCCTGGGGGACAGAAAGCATCACCATACTGCCTTGAGCTTTTGTGGTACTGTTTGCAATGATGTAAATGAATTTAAAGAGGACCTTACATGTGTACAGCCTGGGTCCCTCAGTGACACTGCATGGCACTGTTTCGTTCAGCTGAGTTTTTGTTTACTTATTTATTTGAGGTGCTGAGAGATGAGAGAGAGAAATCTTACATCTGCTTGTTTACTCCCCAAATGCTCACAGCAGCAGGGGCTGGGCTGGGCCAGACTGAAGCCAGGAGCCAAGAATTCAGTGCAGGTTGCCCACCTGTGGTAGGGACCCAGCTCTCTGAGCCATCCATTGCTGCCTTCCAGGTTCTGCATCAGATTTTTTTTAAGATGTATTTTTATTTATTTGAAAGAGTTACAGAGAGGTAGAGACATACAGAGAGAGAGGTCTTCCGTCTGCTGGTTTACTCCCCAGATGGATGCAATGGCCAGGGCTGAGCCAATCTGAAGCCAGGATCCAGGAGCTTCTTCCAGGTCTCCCTTGCATGTGCAAGGGCCCAAGGACTTGGACCATCTTCTGCTTCCCCAGGCCACAGCAGAGAGCTGGATCGGAAGAGGAGCAGCCGGGACTTGACCCAGTGCCCATATGGGATGCGGGTGCTTCAGGCCAGGGCTTTAACCCACTGCACCACAGCACCGGCCCCCTGCATCAGCTTTTCAGCTGGAATCTGGCCTTGAACTCTGATATGGGATGCAGGCAGCCCACGCAGCGTCTTAACCTCCACACCAGGTGCCCACCCTCAGCGGATAATGCTGCTCAGTGAAGGAAGCAGTGTGTCCTGGCCTGGCCTGGGGCTAGCTCTTCCTGTCACCTCTGAGCCATGCTTTGAGTGTCGCTAGTCCAGCCCTCCGTTTAGCCAGCCAACACTCCTGGGTTCACAAAAAGAAAAGCTGGGAGGGGTGGGCTGTGCTGTTTTTCAAGGGGATCTTCTCCGCAGGCTTTCATGCACAGATCGTCAGGTTTGGTGCAGGCTCGCTTTGTTGACTCGGGACACTGCCGAGAGAGGAAACCGTGAGGCCTGTGCTTGTGAGAGGGGAGGAGAGGCTAAGATGCTCAAAGATACAGCACTTGGTGGGGAAATCTTAATTTAGGATGACATTCAAAAGCAGAGTGTCATGGCTGCCCAGAAGGGAATCTGGAGGGATTAACAGGAAGTTCAATTAAACACCCCTACTCCAGGTTTTATGATAGTTGACACGTTCACGTTGTCTGTGGGTCACAGAAAGCTGTGGTCCTGCACTGGCTCCTGCCGAGCCTGCAGCTGATCACAAGTCCCTGGGACCTGTCACTTCAAAGCACCTGCTGTTCTGGTTTCCTTCAAACAATGCTAAATGTGCCCAGTTGAGTGCATGCTGGACCTCTCCCCCCCCCCCCCTTCTCTGTCTCTCTCCCTCTCCATCTGACCTGACTCTGTATTTCCAAAACCTGTTCTGAGAAGACACAGGGGCCCACCACCCCTCCCACCGAGGGCTTCCCAGTGGTGTCAGGAGATAGCAGACACTGATTGGTACCTGCCATGCTGATCCCAGCAGGTCACGCACGTGCCAGGTACACGCGGACCACAGAGTCAGCCGTAGCGATGTGGTGCCTTCAGGACTGCCCCAAAGTGGGAGGACCTCAAAAAACAACTGAGCAAAGCTGGGTGACCCTTAAGGTGCATGTGGGTGGCACAAGAGACATTGCCACTTGGGGAGCACTACCTGGATGGAAGACTCTGGGCTGAATGTTCGGGTGGCAGGTGGAGGCGGGGGACAAAACACACTACCCAGCCTCATCTGTAGTGTGGTGAACCTGCAGGCTAAGACCTGAGACTCCGTGAGGGTGGCACAAGAGAGATCTGGAATGCACCCTGCGGAGGGCAGTGATCAGGAGGGCCCGGAAGGTTCCATCAGGGAGCTGGTGTGGCTCTGACCTTGAAGGAGGAAGTGAACTTGGGCCGTTAGAGTTGGGGTGAGGGGAGGCAACGACCACAGAGGCATCAGGCGATGGTGAAGAACCTGGCCGTGTTTTTGAGGACTGGTGTGGAGTCCTCTTGTGCTGGATGGGGAAGGAAGAGTGCCCAAGTTGATTGAGGTGAAGAGTGGCCGACACTGGGGTCCCTGGAAGGCAGTGGGAACCCTCAGAGATCTCCTCACTCTCAGTACTTTTTGTCTGGACAAGGTTACTTCCGAATGCTCATGGAAAATTGAATTAAGTCTCTCTTGGTGCCAAAACAGTTTGGACTCCATGCATAGTTTTTTTTTTTTTTCACAGTACGTGTTTTCCATGAACTGTTTGAAACCTGCCTTGGTGTCACTGTGCCGAGCCCCTGTGCACAGCTGTGTCTGTCTCCTGTGAGCTGTCTCCTCCTTGTCCCATGTGTCTGCTGTGCCCCTATTCCATGGGGCACAGCCTTTGCAGTGCTGGCTGGGCGGGCGTTGCTGGGTGAAGGGGCAAAGAAATGCGAGCAGGTGCAATGCCTCATGAGAGTGTGCTTCAAGTGCGAAAAGAGAGTAGGTGGGGGGAACCTTGGGCAGGTGTGGGAAAGCCTTCCTCTCCCTTCAGCTCAGGAGGCGAAGGCCTCCTTCTGTCTTACCGTCCTGCTTGGTTGGGTTTGGTGCCACTCAGGACGATGGGTCTGCAGGGTGTGTGTGTGTGTGTGTGTGTGTATACGTCCATTTGTATGTGTGCATGTGCACGCGTATGCACACACCCTAGCCCGTGTAGGTGCACAGCCACACCTCTGTGTCCCTTTCCACCAGCGGGCAGTATTGTTGCCTTCCCCTTGGCTTTGCCACCCCTCCTGGTTGCCATGGGTGCTGCGGAGGCTCGGATGAGTCCCCCGTGCTCCGTGTGCTGTTTCCTTCATTCGTGCTCATGAACGTCTGCCCCCGCCTGCTCTGTCCAGGGCTATTTTAGTGACGCGTGGAACACGTTTGACTCCCTCATCGTAATCGGCAGCATCATAGACGTGGCGCTCAGCGAAGCGGACGTGAGTATGCAGCCAGTGTGGCCGCCCGCCTGTGTCCTCTCTCCTCTATCTGTGCACATTCTGCTTGCTGCCCTGCGTGGCGTCACCTGGACAAGTCACAGATCCCAACTGCACTTGATCCAAAACTAAGGCTTTCCTAACAAGAGCCGTGGGGACAAAGCCTTGGAGGGTAGCTGCAGTGACCTTGAGGCAGACTGACCTCCCCGGAGCACTTGTAGGCCGTGTGAGATAGGAGGTCCCTTGTCGTCTTTATCTGCTGGGTCAGAAGCCTTACGCAAAGCGATGTATCTAGGACGTGTTTGTTTCAGGACGGTGTTTCAAGTAGCTGATAGTATAATGCTAGAATGTTGCCTCTGATAACACTCCTTTTCTTCTCTCTCCTTGTGCTTTCTCCCCTCTGTGGCTTACCGAATGCTTGCCCTAACAGCACTATTTCACTGATGCATGGAACACTTTTGATGCCTTAATTGTTGTGGGTAGCGTCGTTGATATTGCTATAACTGAAGTAAATGTAAGTAGAAAACTTTGTGTCCTGTAATGTGGTGTTTGCGTTAAGTCTGATGTAGAAGGCGCTAGAAGCCCTACCTGTGACTCACAGACAACACATACTCATTTTGCTAGACCCAGGCCAATTTGTCCCCCGCCTCCCTCACCTCATCTCCATCTGCTTCTCCTGAAAAAGAGGAAGTGATATGTAGACTGCCATTCTGAAACTAAAACCGTATTTTAGGCGTTTCATTAACATCTCAAGGGCTAGCAGTTCAGCATGAGTGTGTGGATGTCATCACTCCCAGCTCTGTGACAATAGCTGGTCACCTGACTGCCTCGTGCCTTGGTTTTTCCAGCTGCAAAGTGGACCTGATAATATGTACTCTCTGAGCCACTGTGGTTCTGTGAGGGCACAGGAGGGAGACTCCACAGCCGGGTGCTGAGCGCGGGGTAGCTAGCTGCTCATGTCCCCACCTGAATCCTGCATCCGAGTCTGGTGTCACTGGGGAGCATCCCAGGCTCTCCAAAGGCCAGTGCTTATGGGATGGAGGACTACTCAGGCCCAGGGGAAGGGGGCCTCGTGTCCTTGAGTCCGTGGTGAGGGAGCGAGTGCACAGCAGTATGGCAGGGGCAGTGACCCTCCCCTCCCTGAGAAGCATCTTGAGGACCCCCTTCAACAGTAAGAGAAAGGGGAGCACCACCACCTTCCTGGCTCCCGTGGTCTGGCCCCAGCCTAGACCAGAAGGCCTGGGGCATGCAGACAGGACTCCATCTGCCTGCTCTGCCCCAGGTCCTTAGTGAGTCCTAATAGTGTTCAGTGTGTGTGGTGCGGGGGTAGGAGGTGGGGAGCAGAGCATGGGGAGGGTCTGCTGTGCAGTGTTGGCTTCTGTTCTGTGTTGTCCCAACCCCCACGCCTGCCCCACCCGGCTGATACCTGCGGAGCTAAGGGTTGTCGGGTCCATCCTGGTGCCCAGACAGCCTGTGTCAGATGATGATAGTGCAGCCCCTTCACTGATTGGTTGCACCTGGGCCTCAGTTCCCCCACGGGTTAAATGGGTGAGTACTGTTTGCCCTCTCTGCCTCACAGATATATTCTGGTGAGATAATGATCTGAATACTGGGGAAAATAGGCGCTAAAAATCCCAGTGTTAGGGAGGTGCAAGGGTGTTATTGTCAGGGTGGATGCTCAGGCATTGCCTTAAGGCATTGACTTAAGCCTCTTCACACCTAAGTTCATCCCACAGCAAGACTGTGCCGTGGCCTCTTGCAAGGCCCAAGTGCAGACGTTTCCCAGCCTTCTGGAGCCTGGATCACATGAATTCCACTTTATGCAAAGTAGTCCATAAGTCGGTTGTTAAGTGACCACATCTCCTGTGTAAGTGATGCTTTGTTATGAAACAGTCCACTGCCAGTGGAATAGCAAAAGCACCCCAACTGGGGCTGCCGCGGGCTGTGTGCTGAGTTCATGGCCAACATCTGCCTGTTAATCACCTTCAGAGAAAGGTGCTACCCATCTTCCTTGAGGAATGCTTACATGAAAGTTCCGGAAGCACACCCTTGTGTAAGTCAGAGATGGTGTAAAATAGAAGTGAAAATGCAATCAACTATGATCAGCAGGCCCCCGGGGGCTCTCGGTGCTTAAAGTGCTGAGTTTCTGGGTACCGGGATGTCACCAATTGGCCACCCGGCTTTGTCATGCTGGCCCACATGCTGGCTGGCAGGTGTGGCCTGGGTGCACTCAGGGCCAGCATGCGTCCGGCTTCCTGGCTGCTTCGCGTGTGCTAGGGGCTGACTGTGGCTCGCACGGCACCTGTGCTCTGCAGCCTAGCCTTGCCTGTCAGTGTCTGTGTTGTGCCTCTCGTAGCATTAGTCAGGATAGGAGCGATTCCACCTGAGATTTTTCTAGTTGGGTCTGATGTTGGATATCTATGCTGGACAGGCATGGGGCTGAAGCTGGCATTCAGTTACACTCCCCCAACCGCACTGCTGGAAATTCACTCACTGTGTTTTCCATCAGTGACTTCTTCCATGGTCAGCTGTAGTCTGAGACCAAGTACTCCTCAGCCATGGCAATGCCGGTTCCCCACCCTGGGCCAATAGAATCGCACTGAAGAGAGATCTCAGTGTTTCTCCACTGGGCCTTGCACCAGGAGGATGCTGAAGGCCTCCTCTCATTTTTCCTTGCATCCCATGTTTGTTGAGCATCCGCCGTTGGCAGGGCCTGGGCTAGTCTCTGGGGAGACACAAAGGTAAAGACGACTGGTATCCTTAACCTCTGACGGTATAAACATGTAAGAGTGGAACGCCTTACTCCTGCACCCTCATCCTCACACACACCAGGGCCATGGTGCATGTCACCTCCTTGGTGGCCTTGTCCCCTGAGCTCCCAGATCAGTTGAGCATGTACACCCCGGTCCCTTGTTGGCTGGTTTCAGCTGCCATCCATCATCCTTTTTTCCAGTGTTGAACCTGCTGTGCTCTCTCTCCCCCGACTCTGCGAATCTTTCCTTTCTGTTGCCTAATCAATTTTCATGTTGGTTTTGTTTTTAGAAAATTGTAGCGGCAAGTATACAATAAACATTTATGCGGTGAAGTCACTGTCAGAGCAAAAGCACTTCTCGAACTGTATACTTGGTTTTGGCTCCCCCTCCCCTTTGGTTTCCACTGAGTCTCACGGGACGTGCTAAGGATCGGTCATGGTCATCTAAACTGTTTCCCTGCCAGCCCTGGGGTCTGAGCTGGGGCCCTCCTGGGCAGTCACACGTGGGTGGCTCTGTGACTTTGCCACCATGGTCTTCAGCATTGGATGACCTGGCCCAGAAAAGAGCACCCAAGCTCGCTTTTGTGCTTTCTGTGGAAACGTTTTGGATGGCCCCTGGCATCGTCCTCGCATGCTCACTGAGCCCGCTCTACCCACTGTCCCCTCCACGTCCCTCTCCCTGCTTGTCCACAGTTCGGTGGCTCTTCCTGGACTGTCAGAACTCCATCACGCTGCTGAAGCATCAGGCGGTGACTTCTGGGCTCCCGTCTGCTCCCCACTTCATATCCGTTGATCCCTTGGATGGTGGCCTGACCCAGCAGTGCGTTTTCCTGCACCCAGGGCCAGCCGTCACTAGCCTTCCATCTTTTCCCATTAGCACAGTTGCTCGGGAGGCAAACTTCTGGCTGAGAAGCTGTGGGGGCCTTGTTGCTGTCAGAGCAGGTGGGCTGGCAGTAGGAAGCTCATGCCCACAAACTGCAGAATCGCTCCAGCTGCATCAGGTCCCCGCCTGAGGCCACGTGGTCCTCTTCTTGTCCTGAACCCATGGCCAGATGGTCCAGCCCACAGCTCCAGGGGCTCAGCCTTTGCCAGGAACCAGGCTGAAGGAAGTGACATGGCAGAGTTGAGAGGCCCTAGGAAGGTCGTCTCGTCCAAAGCCTGAGATGGAAAGCCGAGTATCCAGCCCCTCGAGGCTGTCTCTAGAGAGCTACCCAGGGAGCCAGCCCTCCCCCAGTCTCATGTGCCCTGTAGGTGTCCCGTGGGTGATCCTGGGACCCAGGGACAGTGTCAGCTCCCTCATGTGCCCCATGTACCTCCCCAGTTCTCTTCATTTCCACGCCTCCCTCCTCTGTCCCTTATAAGGACAATGGCGATGGCCTTCAATCTCTTGGTGTCTGGGTCCTGAACCTTTCTCAGCTCCAAAAGAAGCCACAGCTGAGCTCTGCCCGCCTGGGTGGGCTTTCCCAGTGGCCCCACTCTGCGTGGCTGCTCAAACCTAAAGGGAAGCACCCCGCTGAATACTTTGGTCCACGCTTACCCCGGCCTGGGACTGAAATTCCTAGCTCTGGCATCACATGAGAATCGCTTAGGGGCTTTTAAAATTCCCAAAGCAAAGGCATACCCCAGACAATTTCACAAGAATCTTTAGGGTGGGGACCTTGACCTCAGATCTTGATAAAGATCCCTGAGCAGCGTCAGAGTCAGCCCACGAGGAGGGCTGGCCAGCCCTGCAGACACCTGTAGTCCGGGCAAAGCCATCTGCAGGATCCTTCCAGTGTGTGAGATACTTTGGCAACTTGCACCATCCCCCCAGTGCTGCCGGCCCCCTCCTCCTCTGAGCCAGCCCCCCCCCCCCGCCCGCTGTCATGGGGGCAGGGGTGGGCGGGGGAGGTCACAGGCCACACTGGGGTGCATGCAGCTTGGAGTGGTTTGTTCTTCGCTTTCTCGCATGTCGTGCTGCCCTGTCCCTCCACAAACACTGCCTCTTCCTTCTTGTCTGCCCCACCATGAGAATGTGAATTTCACAGTCCGTGACTTGTCATCCAAAGAGATCCACTGAAAAGGAGACGGGCGCTTCCTAAGTCAGTTTGGCTGCCGGCTCTCACATGTCCTAAGGATGGGGGTCGTGAGTGGTCTGTCACAGAGCACAGCGGGGGTGGGCAAGCAGGAGGGGCTTGGGCCAGGCAGTGGCCAGAAAGAGTTTCTTCCCAAGCATTTCAGCAGCATAGCTGTTGAGTTCTCTGTCGAAGACACACTGTGGTACCCTGAGCGTAGGCACCCAGTGATGTGGGTGTATGCACACTCACACAGGCCAGCCAGGGGTGTGCGTGCACACACTCACGCAGGCCAGCCAGGGCTGTGCAGCACACACACACAGGCCACCCAGGGATGTGGGTGTATGCACACGTACACAGGCCACCCAGGGATGTGGGTGTATGCACACTCACACAGGCCAGCTAGGGGTGTTCTTGCAGCACTCACACAGGCTACCCAGGGATGCGCGTGCACACACTCAGGCCAGCCAGGGCTGTGCAGCACACACACACAGACCAGCCTAGTGATGCTCCCATTTGCACAGTCCTTAGGGAGAGCAGTGTAGGAGACAATGAGAGCTTTGGAAAATGAAGTCTAAGTCCTTCATGTGTTAAAACCTGAATATTAAAAAATATTTGTCTCTCTAGGAAGATATGAGATGATAGAGGAGGAAAACAAAAACTGTGACCCTGCCTAGACAGGCCCCTGGCAGAGCTTACGTCCTGAGCAGCCCGGAGGGAGCAGGGCCCACTTCGTAGCTCCAGGAGAACCCGCTCGTCCTGGGTTCACGCTGGCACACTGCTGAATCCCACTTGTCCGCTGATGGGCCCAGGCCTCTTGTTTCCTGTGGACTTTATCGAGTCGTCTGTTGGGTCTCAGGAGGTCCTGCGTCATGTGGTCTCTTTGTGAGACAGAGGCTTCAGAAGCGAACCAGTGCCTTCCTCGTGTCCCCAGAGGGGGAAGTGCCCCAGGCGGCGTGCGCATCTGTGCCTGCACACACTTGCCTTAGCCCCAGAACCTTGCCATCCACACAGCCTCCCCGGGGTCCTTGCCACACTAGCTAGGCTCCCTCCATCCGTTCCTGGCAGACCGGCTGCTGTGACAGAAGTTGCAGGGAGAAGAGGGACTGTCCCATCCAGGTTCTGGTCAGTTTTCTGTTACTGTTGAATTCAGAGTTCACTCCTGGTGCCTCCAACGTCCTTGCATTCTCTTCGACACTTAGCACCCCACAAGTGCAAGACACTGGACTGGTCACCAAGGGGCGTGAGGCAGGGTCCCTGGGCTCCCTGGGAGTGAAAAGGCAGAGGAGCGCCAGCCATCACACAGTCTATATCAGGGGACCTGCCAAGGCCTAAGAGGAGACAAAGAGTGAACTGGTTTACCTTATGTCTTCCGAAGAGTCAGGCAGAGCGGAGCCTGGTCCTGTCTGGAGAAGCAGCTGGCATTGCGGGTCAGGCAGGGAGGGCTTTGTAGGGAAACCGGCCTCCCTCCCTCACCGTGCTGACTCAGAGTTTCCAGTTCCTCAGTGGCCCAGCCAAAAATGTCATGGTCAGCGGCATTTGGCGCCCTGGGGACAGAAGTGATTTGTGGACCGCAGGTGGTTTCCCTATTTATGCCGCTGCTGGAGTGGCTGTGTCCTTGGGGGTTAGGAGGCCTGGCCAAGCAAAGAGAACCAACTAGTCTCCCCAGCAAGAGGCAGAGGGACACCTTGTGTGTGTCCGTCCGCAGGGACACCTCGAGCCTGGCCGTAGTGCCGGCCATCCTGGGATGTGAGTTAGAAAGCAGTAGCAGGTGCGTGTCCATGTCCGTGACTGCTCCCAAGTTCTGTTCTGAGCAGAGCCACTGGCATTTGCTCAGGGAGGGAGCAGGTGTGCTGTCGAAAGCCGTCCACCACACGTGCTTTTTGCAAAGGGGAGAATGTGTCCCTGAGCTCTGCTTCCTTCCCAGTTCATTAATCCGTTTTCACCCTCTGATTTCTTAAAGCCAACTGAAAGTGAGAATGCCCCTGTCCCAGCCGCTACGCCTGGGGTAAGATCAGTGGCCAGTCCCCGGGGGGCCTGCTCCTGAGTCCATCTGACCATGTCCAGTTCTCCACTTGCTCCTCTGCGTCCTCCGGGACTGTCCTGCCAGGGCAGTGTGTGCAGTGGTTTGCATTCATTGTCAGTGTCCAGCACCCTCGGCCGGCCCAGCGCGCGCCTCTCCCACGGTAGAACACGTGGACATGCATGTCTGTGTGGGCGCAGCTCTCCACGCCCTGTGTCGTTAGCATGTAACTTTCCTTTCATTCACGCTTCGTAAGGTTTGGGAAAGGCCCTAGACACACATCTCCAGTTCTCACCTCTGTCACCTTGGCATCTGTTGCTGTTTCTCTGAAAGTGTTGCATGTTCTACTTTCCGCTGGGTTTGATCTCTCCATGATAACCCTTCAGAACTCTGAAGAGAGCAATAGAATCTCCATCACCTTTTTCCGTCTTTTCCGAGTGATGCGCCTGGTGAAGCTTCTCAGCAGGGGAGAAGGCATCCGGACACTGCTGTGGACTTTCATTAAGTCCTTTCAGGTAAGAGCCGTGCCCGGGGCGTCTCTGGTCGCCTCTGAAGACCTTCTGGAAGGCTCGGGCCGTCTTGTGCCCCCAGAGCTTGCAGCTCCGTCTGCGTGGCAGTCCGCAGAGAACAAGGCGTGCTGGGAGACCCAGCCCGTCACTGCTGTGGTGAATCAGAGAGGAAGCGGGAAGGCCCTGGAGCCGAGAGATCTGTGCAGCATTGCCAAGACTGAGAGAGACGTGGAGCCTCTGGGCCCTTCAGTCCTCCCTGGGATGCCCGCAGTGGTGGTGGGACACTTAGTGAGGGTCCCGCAGACCCCCTGGGAGCCCAGCGGCCTCCCTGTCGGATGGCTTCTCATGCTGCTGCAGCAGTCCTACCCGTTGGCTAGTCCAGGCAGGGGTCAGAAATCCCTGTCCCAGGGCCAGCGTGCCGTCACCGGTCCCTGGGGTGCCCAGTGCGTGGCAGGTTCACAGAGTTCAGGACATTGAGGTGTAGCCCCTGTCTCGCTCACCACCTGTGATTCTCCAAGCTGGTGTAGCCCGGACCTAGTTCCTTCCTGAGCAGAGCTGGCTTCTCCTGTCCCTTCCAGTAACCCTGGCCAGACGGTCCAGTCTTCAGGAGCGAGTCCCTGAGAGAGCTGAGGGTTGTAGATCGTTGTTAAAAGGGGCACCCACGTGGGGAATTCATGAACATGCACCAGCATCAGAAGGTGAACTGTGCGTCTTCATTGCTTTAGTACTCGACTGTTTTTTAGTTTGACAGTGACACGTGGTCCCGTGAACAAATGCAGCTATGCAGAAATACAGAGGGGGAAGTCCAGACTTGCCTCTCACCCGTGTCTAGGGAAAGTAGGGTTACATCCCGGGAAGCACTTTGCCGTGGGGATGTGAGCAGGTTGTGGGGCGGAGGACAGGAGCAGACGCTCAGAGGAGGGCGCTCGCCAGCTCTGCGGGGAGAATGAGGTGGAGGCAGCAAGTGCAGCTCTGGAAGCAACAGGACAGAGCTGGAGAGGGGCTCAGGCGGGAGAGCCTTGTTCTGGGCCTGGCATGAAATCTGCAACACCCGTCGGTGCGTAGTGTACCAAAGCCTGTCTGTGAACTGCTCTAAAAATAGATCAAATTCATGTAGTAGTCTAAGAGTATTCCTATTCCTTTTTGAAAGAAATTATTAAACTTTAAATTTTTTTTCCCCATTTTTTGAAAGGCATAGAGACAGGACAGACAGGGAGCTCTTTGATCTGCTGGTTCTCTCCCCAAATGCCTGTAACAACCTGGACTGTGCCAGGCTGAAGCCACAGCCCCGATCTCAGTCCGTGTCTCCCATGTGGGTGGCAGGGTCCCAAGGACTTGAGCCAGCACCTGCATTAGCAGGAAGCTGGAAATGGAAGCAGTGCTGGGCCTCAACCCCAACCACTCCAGTTTGGCATGTGGACATCCTGAGTGTTGCACCAAATGCCGTTGCCCTTTTATTTTGATTTGATCTACTCTCGATAAGAAAACCATGTCACAGACGAGCAGTTCGTGAACACTAAGAAGCTATACCAACTAAACTGTAACCATTTGGAGATCTGGGAAGAAAAGGCAGGCGTTGTGCTGGGGAAACCTGAGACTCAGCCAGGGGGACTCTGTGGCAGACGAGCTGTCAGCGCAGTGCCACTGCAGCAGGCCGGGCTGCTGGTGCCCCAACACGCTGGCACAGGTCTCGAGGAATTGGCGTGGCTGTCCACCTGCCGGTCTCTGGCTTTTTGGTGGTCTTCCTTGGGGAACTGAGAAAGTAGATACTTTCAGCATGCATGCATTCTGGGTAACCCCCAAGGTGTGCCACACACATGCACATGTTGGCCAGATACGATGAGAGAGAAAAGCCATTGTGGAATATTGGATCAAAGGACTGTGGTCCGACCAGACACACATAAATTATATTTGCATTCACTGGAGAGAACCCTGATTGGCGACTACCTGGCTGCTGCTTTTTCTTCGCTGGCCCAACCCCCCCACATACACATACCCACAGCTCTATGATCCTTTCAGAAGGTTTACATTTAAAGAAAAAAAAAAAGTGTATGTGTGTATTTGAAAGGGAGAGTAGCAGAGTGAGAGAGAGAGAGAGAAAGAGAGGTCTTCTCTCTGCTGGTTCACTCCCCCAGATGGCTGCACCAACCAGGACTGGACCAGGAGCCAGGAGCTTCATCCTGGTCTCTTACGTGGGTGGCAGAGGTCCAAGCACTTGGGTCATCCTCTGATGCCTTCCCAGGTGCATTAGCAGGGAGCTGCATCAGAAGCAGAGCAGCTGGGGCTCGAACTGGCATTCCCCTGTGTTATGCCAGCATCTCAAATAGTTTAACCTGCTGAACCATGCTGGCCTCGAGATGTGCATTTTAAGAAAGGTGTTTTTGCATTCTACAGCAACAGCCAGAAAGTGGTTCTTCCCCCCTGACCCCGTAATTCCGTTTCTAAGACTTGACCCTGAGGAAACATTGCTGCAGAAGCAAGGTGACCTTATGTAAAGATGTCCCTGCACGATGTTACCTACAATGGCTCCCCATCTCCACCACACATATGCTCACTACAGAGAACAGAAGCCATCTGAAAGCCCAGTGTCTTGGGATGGCGTCAGCAATTCTCATTTTATAAAAGATTTCCAGTAATGAGTTTAAGCATTATTTAAGAGGGCTGTGTCTGAGTTGAAAGCGTTGAGGGTTAGAACACGGTGTTCATGACCATGAAAGTGCATCCTGCCTGCAAAGTGGTCACACTAGGCGTGCAAGTGCTTGGGCCGTGGGGCTGGAGTCGAGAGTTCTCCCTTACTGTCAGCGTCATTTCCTTGTAACACAGAAATGAAGACAAGCACATGGTGGTGCCATCACGGTGTCCAGAGCTGAGTACTCATTAGACACAGGAGCATGGTCTCTTGGGGTAGTGCCAAATCATCAACCTCTAGCACAAGCTCAGAGGAAACCTTTGATTTCTCGTGGCAAGTGAAGGAGACCAGGAGAAGGAACCGTTCCCCCTAGAAACTGCCTCCCTGAGGAGCACTGGGCCCCGGCTTTTATAGTCAGGGGTACGGGAGAGGGAGGAGGATGGTCCCTGCTGCTTGTCCCTGTGCACACCCTGCACCTGCGTGCCTTGCGTGTTCGGGAAGTGGCAGCAGTCTCCTTCCCTGGGCGGAGAGTGTGGTAATACGAGCAGAGTTGAGTAGAGGTAGTAAAGATCAGTTGTTCTTTGTGTCTGGTGGGCTGGCCCCTCTGAGTGCAGTGTTGCAAGATGAGCTCTCCTGAATCAGCCTCTGAATCATGCCCAACAGAGTTCAGATGCCCTGCGCAGGTTCCAGGACCTCCCCTTCCCCCTTTGCCTAAATCCTGCCCTCTTGGTTATACACGGTCTCTTGCAGGCACTTCCATATGTCGCCCTCCTCATTGCCATGCTGTTCTTCATCTACGCGGTCATTGGCATGCAGGTAAGCTCCAGCCACCATTCCCTGAGGGGCCTTTGCACCTGCTAGCCACCAGGCCATGGCAACACGTACCGTGGCCAGGTGAAGTAGAAAGACAAAGCATGATGTTTTAGTCAAATGCTTGGCTGCTGCAGAGGTAAGGAAATGGGAAAGGTGGGACCGCATAGCAGAGAGCTCCCCAGGAGGGTGCCCTGCTTAGAGAGAGGCCCAGAAGAACGTAGAGAGTTCAAAGCTTCCGTGCCCCTCCAGTCGGGGCAAAAGCAAATGGTTGAGAAACCCTCGGTTGGTGTTAGCAGCGGGAGACCCAACTGAAAAGGAAATGTCATAGGAAAGGCAGCCATAATTGTCAGTGTGGGTGCTGTGAGCTACTGAGTTGTGGGCTACTGAGAGGATATCCATAATGCAAAAGTCTGCTGAAATTCTAAATAGAGTTGTGCATCATAACGACAGGAGACTCTCACTGGAAGTATTTCCATATACTGTGGTTGAGTACTTAACTTAGACCATTATGATTTTTTTATGATTTTTTAATAATTTTTAACAAATTTCATTTTATTTGAAAGATCTTTCATCAACTGTCTCATTCCCCCTTTGCCTACAACAGTCAGGGCTGGGCCAGGTCAAAGCAAGGAGCCCAGAACCACCTCTGGGTTTCCTATTTGGGTGGTAAGGACCCAAACACCTGAGCCATCACCAGCTGTCTTCCAGGAGGAGGCATTAACGGGAAGCTGGGTTTGAAGTGGAGGAGCCAGGACTCCAACCAGGCCCTCCGTATGGCTTGTAGGCACTCCAGTGGCATGCAGGCTTCCCAGTGGCAGCTTAGCTGCTGTGTCAAACACCTGTCCCCAGCGAGTTCCCCTGCTGTGGGACCAGGCTCTTCCTCAGTTCCCATCTCAGGGGCTAAGAGACTGCAGCCTGCTTCCCACTTCTCTTGGGGTTGGGAGAAGGACTGGGCCTTGATGACAACTGAACCCTGACTCCAAGTGGGCTCGGGGAGCTGAGGGGGTCAGAGAGCCGAGTGTGGCTCTGCCTCTGTTTCCTGCCTCTGAAGTAATGCGCTCCCATGCTGGTCTGTGGTATGACAAGATCTGTCTTGTTTCCTGATAACTTCTCGGCCTAGATGTTTGGGAAAGTTGCCATGCGTGATAACAACCAGATCAACAGAAACAACAACTTCCAGACCTTTCCCCAGGCGGTGCTGCTGCTCTTCAGGTGACTGAAGCTGGGCCAGGGCGGGGGCCGGGGAGGCGGGGGCAGCCCTCTCTGGCCTAGGGTGACAGAGGACAGGCACTGTCCAACCACTGTGCCTTTCCCAGTTGGCCACAAGGGCTTTGGGTTGTGTGTGCTTGGTGTTCTTAAGCAGAGACCTGGCATTTCAGGCATGGGACTCTGATGGATTGTTCAAGCGTCTGCAGTCACTTAGAGCACACTGTCCTAAGGCTCACCCATCTGGGAGCTTGTGGGACTCCTAGGCCACCAGGAACATTGCAGGATATGTGTCTAGGCATGGACTTGGCAATTAAACACAGCCGAGAGAAGAGAGTAGAGGCCCTTGGTCCAGCCACTGGGGACTATCCTAAGAGCTACTGTTTCAAATTTTATGGGGTTTGTGTTAACCCCAGTTAATTAACTTTGTAAATAGACTCCCTTATAATGAGGAGATTGTCTAGAAATCATGGAAAGAATTTCTAATGACTCCAGAGACTGAATATAGTCATTTGCAGCCTAGGTTGTTTCTAACTCTGCTTCCAACAAAGTAAATCGAGGATAGTCATTTAAAAATTGTAGTGTCCGTGTTTAAACAGGGAAGACAGGACAACATCTGTCTGTACCAGAATTGGTGTGTTTGCGTCCAGAGATGGCTATAAATCAGAAGGAGCTGGAACAGGGCCTCCAGTTACTGGCAGAAGTTGCTTTGAAAAATAAGTAGGAATTTGAGTTTTTTTCCAAATTCTAAGTGGATTTTCCCCAGCTTCCTTAGATGTTGCTCTCATGAAGAATTTTCTCCCCAGTGGTGTAAGCCTTCACCTTCCTCTCCCACTTAGACTCCTCTTCCCCTGCTTGATTTTCTTGCTCCACAAAAGGTGTGCAACGGGGGAGGCCTGGCAGGAGATCATGCTGGCCTGCCTCCCGGGGAAGCTCTGCGACCCCGAGTCGGATTACAGCCCCGGGGAAGAGTACACGTGCGGCAGCAACTTCGCCATCGTCTACTTCGTCAGCTTTTACATGCTCTGTGCGTTCCTGGTGAGTGGCCGAGCAGCTCCCCTCACCTTGCAGAGGCTTGCGTGGCACACAGAGTGCAGACCAGCGATTGGCCCCGTCCAGTGCCCGGGGGAGACTTGGTGGTGGATGAGCCCTCTGGACTCCCACTTGGATTTAATCAGGCCTGTGTCATTCCCACCTTCCTTGTAAGCAGAGGCTGGGTGCTTGCTAATAGGTTTGGGTAATTACCAGCCCTTCCAGCTTCCTAGGGCTACTGGTTCCCTTCGAAGAATATCAAAGCCACCACACATGGCTTTCAGTGCCTTCAGAGTGACTTGTTTGGTGGCAATGAAATTATAAATCTGCAGTGTGCATCAGAAGGCTGGTGAACACAGCCACCTGCCCTCTCCTAGGGGAAGACCAAAGCCATCCTGGAAAGCTAGAAGCCTCGCCTTTCCTTAAACAACTTAGGAGGAGAGAGTTTTCCAACCTCCCTGGGGACAGGAGTTCACATATTTTGTGAACATTGGAGGGGACCTCAAAACATTAGTGGGATTAGAAGGTGCTTTAAAAACTGCAAGTCCGTGCCGGGTTTTCCACAGTGTGCATTTCCGTGGCCTCTCTGGAGGTCCTCTGTGTAAGAGGACGTGTGACAGCTGGTGACCCTGGTCCATCCCGCTGCGCTGAAGCTCGCTCCCCTCTGCTTGGCTCTTGCAGATCATTAATCTGTTCGTGGCTGTCATCATGGACAATTTTGACTACCTGACCCGAGACTGGTCCATTCTGGGGCCTCACCATTTAGACGAATTCAAAAGAATATGGTCCGAATATGACCCGGAGGCCAAGTAGGTGGAAACGGGTTCCATGAGGCTGTGTGAGCTGTTTTGGGGGTGCCCATGGTGGTTTTTCTGAAAGGCAGGTTGGACTGAGAATTCAGCCCCTGGACCTCACTCTGTGCTCTGCTCCCAGGGGAAGGATAAAGCACCTGGACGTGGTTACCCTGCTGCGCCGCATCCAGCCTCCCCTGGGGTTCGGGAAGCTGTGCCCGCACCGGGTGGCTTGTAAGGTGAGCGTCCTGGGCTGAGCTGTCCGACAGCCCCACCTGCAGGGGCTCACTGCTTCGTTCAGCGAACGCTTGCTGTGGGTCAGGTGCTGGGCATGCAGCGGTGGTCCCTGTGCTGAGCAACTCCGAGGTTAGCAGCTCAGGAGGAGGAAAGAGGGAGTTCTGTGGTTTGTCATGCGGTGGATGGGGAGAAGGTGACATTGGAGGCGGGTGGAGAGCAGACGTGGGAGTCAGAGGCAGGGAGGGCATTGGAGGAAGGGAGAGGCGGGGCAGAGAAGGGATGGCATGGTGGCAGATGGTGAGTCACCGAGCCACCCGTTGGCTAGGACATGGAGGGGCAGAAGGCCGTGGGTATGAGCTGAGGCCTGGTGCGGGGCACTCTCCACCCCACTCCTGTCATTCCCATGCCAGACCCTGCTCTCTGGGACCCCCGTGGAGCTCTGTCTTCCTGCCCAGACCCTGCAGTGAGGACTCCTTACATCCAGTATAGCAACAGCAAAGAATCCCCCTTTTCAAGGAGGAAGGCAGATGTGCTTGTTGAAGCCCCTTTGAGAAACTCATCTGATCTGCGCACCATTGGCTCCCAGCTCCCTGTGTACCCGAGGGGGTCCTGGCATCACGCGTCATACACCCCAGGGTGCTGGGTCAGCTCTGGTCAAAAGCTGGCACAACAGAGCAGCATCTTTTTTTTTTAATTTTTTATTTCTTTATCTGAAAGGCAGAGTTATACAGAGGCAGAGACAGAGAGACAGAGAGATGTCTTCCATCTGCTGGTTCATTCCCCAGATGACCGCAATGGCCAGAGCTGCACCAATCTGAAGCCAGGAGCCAGGAGCCAGGAGCCTCCTCCAGGTCTCCAACATGGATGCAGGGGCCCAAGGACTTGGGCCATCATCTGTAGAGCAGTGTCTTCAGACGTATGTCAGACTTCACAGAAATGCCCTGAGCCAAACTCAAGCTCTGTGCCCTGAAAATCCAGGCACCCCAGGGTCCCAGCTTCTACTCAGGCTGCCTCCTGATGTGGATACCGAGAATGAGCCACCAAAGTGGACCCTTAAGAATGAACCTGGAGGGGCAGGTGTCTGAACACTTGGGATGCCTACATTCTACATGAGTGCCTAGCTTTGAGTCCCTGCTCTGCCTTTGATGCAAATTCTTGCTGATACACATCTTGGGAGGCAGCAAGTGATGGCTCAAGAACTTGGGTCCCTGTCACCCATATGGAAGATGCAAATGGAGTTCCAGGCTCCAGACTTTGGTCTGGTCTAGCTGTGGCTGTTACAGGAATTTGGGGAGTGAGCGAGTGAATGGAAGCTACCTCTTTGTCTGTCTCTCTGTTTGTTGCCCTGCCTTTCAAATAAAAATAAATAATAAAATTTAAAGAATAATCATCCTGGAGTGATCTGATGCCAAAACACAAGAAGAACTGGTTAATGAGAAGGAAGCAGGAGGTTGAACTCCTGCAACAAAATGGAGCCCCTGAGCGTCCCTGTCGATGTTTCAAATTAGAACTCTGATCTTCGTCATGGCAGAGGCCCCTCGCTCAGATGGCTCTTCAGGGAAACAGAGCAGTAGGATGGTGCAGATGCATGTGTAGGGGCCCCAGTAAGTTCTTGGAGGGGCTGGCCTTGTGGCACAGAGGGTTAAGCTTCCCCCTGTGATGCCTGCGTCCCATTATCAGTGCCAGTTGGAGTCCCGGCTGCTCCACTTCTGATCCAGCTCCCTGCCAAATGTACCTGGGAAAGCAGTGGAAGATGACCCAAGTCCTTGGGCCCTTGCAACCCATGTTGCAGAGATAAGATGAAGCTTCTGGCTCCTGGCTTTGGCCTTGCCACCACAGCCATTTAGAGGAGTGAGCCATTGGATGGAAGACCTCCTCCCTTCCCCTCCCCACGTCTGTATAGTTTTTCCTTTCAAAAAAAATTTTTTTAAAAATTCATGGGGATGGCTTCTCGGCCTTTTGGCTAAGATCAAGTGTAAAAAATTCATGGAAAATTGATAGGATATTTTTATTCCATTTTCTCAAGAACTTTACAAAACCCCTTACGTCTGTATGTGCACATGTGTATCTATAAATATGGGGCACTTCAAAAAGTTTGTGGACAATGGAGTTAAGGATAAGTTTGCACTGATGCAAAAAAAAAAAATGCCTTGAATCTATACATGGCTTCTTCATAATACACATTTCCATGAATTTTTTGAAGCGTCATCCTATGCATGGCTTTGAAGGTTTCTGACACAAAAAGAAACTTCTCTTTTAATTCTGTTTTCCTCCAACTTTGTGAAATAGGTATTCATCTTTCACAGACACACACACACACACACACACACACAAGGATTCACACACCTTTACAAACACAGAGACTTGTATGAGGAGTTGACTGTGTGATGTGGAAGCTGGAATTGCATGCTCAGAGCCTCAGCAAAGCTGGCGCAGCTCAGGCTCAGTCCAGAGACAGGAAAAGGCTGAGGTGCAGCTCAGGCAGGCAGGGGAAGGGGGCCCAGCCTTCCTCTGCCTTTTGGTTCTTTTTGTGCCCTCAACAGCTGGATGTGCCTGCTCTGGGGTGGGACACCTGCTCTACTCAGTGTCCCAGTTCAAATGCAGGCTCTATCCAGGCACACCTAGCATCTTGTTGAACCAGATATCTGGTGGCCCAGTCAAGTTGACGCACAAAGTCATTCATCGTATAGGGGCTTCCCAGTGGCCGCTGCCAGAGCAGAGCTGAGTGATCGAGAGAATAAGCTTGGAAAAGCGACATGGCTCCCAGCCATCGCTTGCATTCTGCTAAGAAGCTTTTCTGTCTGTCTGCAGAGGCTGGTGGCCATGAACATGCCTCTCAACAGCGATGGTACAGTCATGTTCAACGCAACCTTGTTTGCTCTGGTCCGAACAGCTCTTAAGATCAAGACCGAAGGTGAGTGTCCCCAGGAAGCAGGACAGGTAGCAGGAGAGGGAAGAGATGTGTTCTTCCATCCGGACCACTGGGAAAAGGGGTACAGCGAGGCTGGGCTGGGCTGGGCTGGCTGCTCACCCCCCACCCTGCCCTGCCCTGCCCCTTCCTCCCTCTGTCCGTCCTTGTTGCTTCACTGTGCATCAGATCTTTGCTTACCATGTAGAAGAAATGGGTGAGGCATCAGGGGCAGGGGCAGAGCAATCACAGATTTACCCCAGCTGTCCCTTATTAGTTGTGTGATCTTCAGGGAGGGATTTCGCTCTCCTGGGCTGTGGTTTGCTCTGTACATGGAGCTAAACCCCACCTGGGCAGGGAAGATGCTGCAGGTGAAATGAGGCAGCCACTCAGGAAACACCTGGGGGTCAGCATCTTCCCAAACCAGGGCGGTCTTCATGGCCACACTCAGCCCTGGCCAGAAGCTGGTAGAACGGGCCACTGGGGTGGTCATGGAGGCAGCTCCAGGGGCACTTCAGAGGCGCAGTGGGGAGCACACAGAGCAGATGGAGGAGTGCCTGGGAGATGAGGAAGTGGAGACCTCACAGGGAGCCAGGGCAGAGGATCCTGGTGGAGGAAACGGGGGGAGTGGGGGTGGGGAGGAGGCAGAAGGGACACGTGCTGCTGTGTCGGGACACAGGCATTGTCCCACCACCGCCGGAGCTCAGGGGGAATCTACCCGGCCATGCTAACATGTGCCTCCTGGTGGCCCACTGCTGGTTCCTGGCTCCAGGCTGGCACCAGTAAGGGTTCCTAAAGGCAGAGGATGGCCTTCTGTGCTGATGTGCCAGGAGGCCAGGTTAGGAGACAGACATTGGCCCGTACGACACAGGACCAAGGGTGTGTGGCCTGGATGAGTGTCTGCACGGAGCTGAGGGAGGTGCATTTGGGTGAGGTTTGGGCTGGATCTTCAGTCAGGCAGGAGAAGGCATTTTGGGCCGGGAGCAACCATAGTCTCTGGGTGCTGGCCTCGGGAGGGTAGGCTGGGCTCCAGCTCGGTGGAGTGACTTCCACCGGTCCTGCAGTGCTGGGATCTCCCCCGGGGAGGGCCTGGTGATCCCTGTTGCCGAATACAGGAGGCGTCGTTGGCCCTGGCTGGAGACAGCCTGGTTGGAAGAGGGGCAGTGCCTTCCTCCAGGTCTGATGGGATAGCCCAACAAGGAGAGGGAGAGGCAGCCAGGGAACAAGATCCAGGCTTATCTTTCTTCTTTTCCCTTTTGGGATTCAGGGAACCTGGAGCAAGCCAATGAAGAACTTCGAGCTGTGATCAAGAAAATCTGGAAGAAAACCAGCATGAAACTGCTTGACCAAGTTGTCCCTCCAGCCGGTGGTCAGTGTAACCTATTTACCGAGTAGCTCGTGGCCAGCGCGTTGGCTGGGATGATAGCATGTCCACGAGGTCCCGAGGGTGCTTGTGGGATGCGTCCTGTGCCAGTTAGAACCCCAAGGCCCACATCCTACAGGATGCCTGTGGCCGCTTGGTGTGGCCACGTTAGGGGTAAACACAGCGACCATTCCAGATCCAGGAGGAGGCTTCCGTGGGAAGGGGACCCAGACCCTGATGGCTGGGGCAGGGGTCTTCATGTTGGTGGAGGGATTACTGTTAGAAAAGAGGCTGCTCATGTCCATTTGAAAAGCCTCTGTTCTTTTTGTTGCAAATGAAATATGCCTCACCAGTTTTCCCATTAGCCTTCAACTTCACAGTTGGAAACTTCGCATGAAAAATAGCTTTTGAGAAATGGTATTTTTGAAATGGTCTTAACAAGACTGGATTCACTACTGTAATGAACAAAATGTCCTTTGAATGAGAATGTAGTGACAGAACTAACAGGCATGCTTATTTCCTTTTGTTACTGATCACAAATTAACTGACTAAACTCTTTTGAACTTATATATATAAATATATATTATTTATATATAAATATATATATATATAGACACATACACAGAGTTTTTCCAGACTTAGAAGTCAGGGTGGTTTTTTTTTTCCTGTTTCATTTTCAAGTTTTAAAGGTGCAGGATCTGTTCCCCCGGTGCCACCCTGGGCTCGGGCATGTAGTAAGCATGTGGTGCATTTTCTAACAGGCGGAACGTTTATAGCGTCCATGCCCCTGCGGCTTTTGAGACCGGTCTGGCTCAGGTCTAGAAGCCGACGCCACCGGAACCCCAGCCAGGACAGTGGCCAAGGCCCTTCCCTCAGGGGCCAGAGACAGCAGTGTGTTGGCCAGCTCTGCTCCTCAGCATGAAGCAGTAGGCACTTCTGTCACTGAAGGGAGCCAACCACTAACTGGCTCGGCCACCAGCGTAAGGCTGGAGAAACTGGGCCGGAAGGAAGCGATGAAAGGAGGGCCAGAGAAAGCTTGGCCCCCAGAGAACGGATGCTGCACGTTTAAAACAACTCTTTGCTTGTCGTTCTTTTTCCTTTCAGCTGCACCTCCCAGTGCCCGCATGGCTCAGGGGAACTGCTTTGTAGAACTGTTGTAACAATGTGCTTGAGCTTTTCCCGCAGCCTCCATTCCTCTCTACTCTGAGTCTTTGAGAATATTCTGAAGCAATTCTGTTTTAGGGTGGTGGCATGGAATCAGAGTTATCTCTTGCCAGCTGTATTCCCCTACAATGTTTCCTGACATCCAGATGCATGCTTCAGAATAGCGGGCTGTGCCTGTCCCTGGGAACCTCCCTTGCCCCGGCCGGCAGGGGGCCCAGGGCCCCCTGGCTTTGCCTTTTATCAAAGAACAAGTCCAGAGTTTGGCTCACCTTCTGAACTCCTTCCCTCTCCCAAGACAGTGGACTTTGAGCTCCTGGAGACTTCGAATAAGAGCCGCGTGTTCTCCCACTTTGTTGGTTCGGTCAGTAGGCCCGGCTTTCTTAAAATGGATTGGAGGTTAGGGTAGCACGAGGCACTGAGAACCCTGCAAAGAAGAGAATGGGCCCAGCAGGGGGTGGAAAGTTCTGGAAGTTCCAGGCCATTAGGTATTTAGTGTGTTGCTTGTCCAGGTTGACTCTGATGGAGCATGGCTGCCCCCGTAGGCCCCCGAGGCAGGGGCTTGCAGGTCGTGGTAGACAGACTCGGCCGTCCGAGGTAGGGACATGGTGCCTGCTTGTTGTTTTTCCCTCTTCCTTCTAGTAGGCCAGTGGCTCCCAGAGTTGCCACGGCCCTGGTCTCGCCCCAGGCTCTCCCTTGCCTGCTTCAGCCTTCCCCTGCCGTTTGCTGGATCCTCTCTTCTCCCCCAGAAGCTCCCTGCCGTTGGGCCCTCATCCTTGTCCTGGATCTTTGGGTCTTTGGCCTCGAAGAACACAGTGAGCCGATTGCACCTCTTCCACCTCAGGCCTGAGCTTGCAGAGCCCCTGCGCACCCGTCCCTTCTCTTCCTTGCTTCTCTGTTCCACCAGAGCTCTGGCTCTGCTCGTTCCTGAGAACTCTCCTTAGGAAGCCAGTCTCCCAGTTAGCTCAGCATCTCAGTGGAGACCCAGGGGTGCTTGGCTGCTGTCCTGCAGAGCCCAGGGTGAGCCCACCTCTGCCCTGGAGGCTGGAGAGAGAGTACAGCTAGCCCTGCACTTGCTGGGCAGACCCTGCTGCGGGATCCCTTCTTCGGTATAGCCTATTCCGAGGGTCCTGGAGAAGACTCGGGATGCTGGAGGACCGAGGCTGGCCGTGACAAGGCAGGCACAGCACCCCCTTGGGCTTCCCAGATGTGCTGGCCAGGCAGCCGGCAGTCTGCTTCTTGTAGGCAGCCCAGGAAAGGGCTAGACTTGTACTCCACCAGAGCAGCTGGCCAGCGTGGCTGGAGACGGGCTCTCTCTGGGGACAGGGGAGGAGAGGACCCCAGGCACAGGAGGACAGGTCCTGGGTTTAGGTCCTGACTTGACAGCCCTGGGCAAGTCTCCCCATCTGTCTGGATGAAGGGATGGCACATCCACCCTGTAAGAGGAAGCCAGGAGACCCACGTGGAGTTCCTGAGCTAGGACTTGGTATCTGCAGGTGCCCAGTAATAAAAGGCTAGCTAGTCCTTAAATTCTAAAGGCACCTGGGCCCAAGGCCCGGAGGCCGGTGGACAGAGCAAGGGGTGACGCACATGGTCCGTGCCTTCCTCTTGCTTCTGGCTGATGGACAGTGCATCCCGAGACTACTGGCCATCACCTTTGGACATAGTGCACAGAGTCTCAGGTGGACGTGGCGGCCCCTCCACCACTGCAGCCTTCCCACTTGGTAACACTGAGTTGCTTCTGAGAGGGAGGTCCAAAGCGGGCTCCCGCGTGGCCTAGTGGTCTGCAGCTGGGGAATACGGCAGGTGGGCAGTGCCTCCCACGTGGGCTGCAAATGAAGCCCACCAAGGGCACATTGGTGACTCTGGTGGGAGCCAGCACCACCTCCCACCCCCAGGCCCTCCCTCATGCTGTAGGAGCCACTTCGGCAGACGCCACTGTCCGCAGGTTGTGAAATCAGTGACTCTGATGGCCCGTGGTCACCCTGGGGGATGACCCAGGCCCGAGGATGTGCACCTTGCTGTGCTTGGTCTCATGTTACCCTCGTAGCAAATCGGAGGGCTGTATCCCTTCCTTACAGATGACCCCTTGCCCCAGATCAGCGCACAGCTCTTGCAAGGGCAGCCTGGCCAAAGGTCAGGTGTCGGGAAGCCCAAGATCCAGCTGCTCTTCCTCTGCCCTTCCCTGCCCTGTCCCCCCCCCCCGCCCCAGCAGGGCCCCCTAGGGGGCTGGCTGCTCCTATGTCCTGAGCATTCCACTCAGGAGACCTCACCCACCGCAGACCTGGTGGCAGGCACCCCAGGGAGACCAGAGGGCCCCATCCAACTCACGTCCGGGGTGGTTTCCCACGAGACAGCCAGAGCCCCTATTCTGCCTCATGCATCACCCGTAAAGTCATCAGCAGAGTTCTGATTGCCCAACGACTCGCGTTGGAGGCTGCTTCTGAACCAGGCAGAAGTAAGCGCGGCGCAGCTGTGAGGGCAGAGCAGCAGGGCCGGATGAGCAGCCCACACGTGGTCTCCGGAGTTCGCTGGCAGAGGATGGGGAGCTCGTGGCCGCCTGGACTTGCAGCCACTTTTCTGAAGCTTCCCCTCTCTCTGAGCTTTGATGTCACCTTCCCAGGTCTCTGTCTTCAGCCACTGGGATTTGGATGCTTAATTGCCCCTGCTGTTGATGGTGATTACACATGCAAATCCCTCTGTGCAGGGGCGGGAACATGGCCTGTGAAGCCTTCTTTGTTTGGTAATTTTTGTTTTCGGTAAATAACCAAGACGGCATTGCATAGTTTTACTAATACGCTGCTCTATGAAATTCATGACGGATATATTAATTTCTGCACCTTTGAGTATCAGTTCATGTGACAGACTCTAACAATGAGCTTTGACTGCTTTGCAAAGCCTTGCTTTTTGCTAGATGGAGTCTCCCGGGTCGTAGGCTGAGAGTTCGGTGCCTTGTGCACCGTCCCGCCCCACCCCCGCCCCAGCCAGAAGCCAGTGTTGAGGCTCTTGGTCCAAATGTGCTGATCCGGGAGAGCTGTGTCTGGTCTCTCCGTTTAGATGATGAGGTAACCGTGGGGAAGTTCTATGCCACTTTCCTGATACAGGACTACTTTAGGAAATTCAAGAAACGGAAAGAACAAGGCCTGGTGGGAAAGCACCCTGCGAAGAACACCACAATCGCCCTGCAGGTGAATTGTCCCCTTCTCGTGTTTGCTCTTTTCACTAACGATGTTCCAAGCTTATTTGAAACACTAGAGAGCTGGCTGTTCATGGGTGAGCAGTCCCACAAGGATTTTGTTTAAACTGAGATACTGCACACTCCCCCAAATGTGGACTGGCCAGTTCTGGGCCACAAGGTAAGTGCTCCCCACACCGACCTTGCCTCCTCCATGGGGCCCTGCACCTGCTGCTGGCCAGCCCCATGTGGCAAGGGTCCCCCCACCCCGCCACCCCACTGCACACACACACCAGGGCATCTGTGGTGTGAGAAGAGCGAGCCTGGCCCCTCCAGTCTTCTCCAAAGGCAGTGTCCTCCAAGCAGGCCCACCATGCCCCAGAGCCCTGGGCTCAGGGTCCCCGCTGCCCTGGAACAGCTTTCCATCTGAACGCAAGTGCTTTGTTTTGTTTCTGTTTGTTTCTTACCCCACTGCTTGTTGGTTTTTGGTTCATTTCAGTGACATCCATCACTTCCTAGTGTGTACCGTGTGCATGCTTGCGTGTGTGTGTGCGCGGTGTGTCTGTGTCTCTCTGTGTTGTCTCCTGGCAACCCTGAGGCTTGCTCAACAAATGCTGCTCCCTCGCGCCCAGGCCAGCCTCTGGCCCCTCTGGCCTTCTCCAGCCCAGGCCCTGCAGCAGGCCCCTAGAGTGTGGCTGTGCCTTTCGGGAGCCTCTGGTACCGTGTGGGCTCTGTGCATCAGAGGGGTGTAGAATCCTAGGTAAGCCCAGAGCTCGGGGCTACGAGGCAGGTGTTTGAAGGGGAATGGAGTGACAGAGAGACCCGCAGGACGGGGGTGAGGAAGGGAGCTTTGTGAACGCCAGCGATGGAGACATCAGGGCAAAGTGGGAGTGGTGAGAAGGTGCTGAGCACAGAGGAAGTGCAGCTCGGCCACAACCACGCCAGATACTGGACAGCTCTGCCAGCTCTGCCGCTCGGGGGGCTGGACGTCCGCTGTGCCCAGGATAAACAACTGTCCCGTCTTTTGTGTACACTGAAATGACCGACGTCCCCGTGACCAGCACATGCCTCAAAGTTGGCCTCCTGGGAATCGATCAAGTTCAGTGTGGAACAGCCCTCGGCTTTTGCCCAGGGAAGAATGTCCAGCCACTGCTTTATCTGGAACGTGATGGCAGCTTCAGGAGCGTGAAGGTTTGTCTGTGGTCTCGCTGGGAGAGTGAACGTGAGTGACTGAGTGGGGAGTGTGGGACGCATGTGTACCCGGGGTCTTCATAAAGTTGGTGGAAATGCGTATCGTAAAACTGCGTGGGTTTCAAAATTGTTGGCATCACAATAAACCAAGCACGTAATCCCATCTTCCATGAACTTTGTGAAGTCCCTTCGCGTGTGACCGGCTCGCACATGACTGCGTGTGACTATAACCTGCAGATTCGTGGGGTTACGTCTGCTCAGGGGGCTGCGGGAGAGGCCTCCCCAGGTGGCAGGCGGACACTGGACGGGGCTGCAGCCAACCTCTGAGCTCTGTTTCTCAGTGGTTCGGGCAGTGGCAGGCTTAGACAGCCTGTTGCTGTCACAGGTTGTAGGGTTGGTCCTGCCACGGGTCTGCACACTCAGCGGCCTCCTCCTGCTGCAGTTCAGCGCCAGCCTTAGCAGAAGCAACTGAAAAGGCACCTTGGCACCTCTGAACGTGGCTCTGGTCCCTGTGTGCTTGGGCCAGCATGGCCAGGTTGGGGCCCAGGAGCGGGAGTGGTTCATGTGCCTCTGACTGGCCCGATGGCGTGATGGCGCGCCCCGCAGCGTCCTCTGCACACCGTCCCATGAGTCCGGACAGTGGGGTCAGGCCCTGATGGTCCTCTGGACGGGGAAGCCTGCCCTCTGATCAGTGACTCCCATCATAACTTAGAGCAGCCCCCTTGGCTCTGGGTTCAGAGATGACTCTGCTCTGCGGAAGCTGTATGTGTTTGACAGCCACTTGGGAGGAAGGTTGTCACTGTTCTGTCTACATCATGTGGCTTCAGGGCTTGTTCTGTGACTGGATGGCACTTTCACTTTTTTTAAAATATGCAAAAAAAGAAAAAAAATACACGGCTAAATAGCGAGCGACCTGTTTGCTTAGAGGTCCACCTAGTCTCAAGTCGTGGGTTCAAAGACTCAATTCCACTGTGTTATAATCTTGTCGAGGGGAGTTTGCTCCTCGCACACACATTCCCCTCACTGTCTGTAGAGAGACTCTCGCTTTCTTGGTGCCCTTCAGAAACTTCCGGTTAGGTGACAGCAGTACGTCGCTCGTGGGAGTGGAGTGGCTGAGACCATGGCTGTAATCTGTGTTGCGTACCCAGCCCAGACAATTAAATTCCGAAAATGCATCTGAACTCTCAAACAGTAAAAACGGAGAAATAATGCTGACTATGTGTTGGCTTCCTCTGCGGTAGAAGCGGCTTGAGATGTGATTCGTCGCTTTGCTCCCTATGGGCGTTAGGAGGCTTTGCTTTCTGCTACAGGGCAAAATACCACATGACGATGTGGCAGTTAGGGAGATGGGCGACAGTGGGACAAGGACGCACGCCCTGGGGACGGTCACTGGGAGTGGGCCTAGGCCTGGCCCATTGAGATAGGGGGCCGGCAGCTTCTTCCCATGACAGGGCACCGCGGGCTGACCGCTAGTGGGCAGTGCGGTGTGGCCGGCGCAGTGTGAGCAGAAGTGACAGAAGTGATGGCGGAGGCTTGTGCGTGCTTGTGCTGCGTCGAGTGCAGTCTGTCTGAGCGGCTGGCAGGAGAGGCCCAGGTTCTCTGCTCCCCCGCCCCACACCATGGTCTTCAAGGGGGCACACGCGTGCATTGCGGCTTTGGACCCCGCGGGCTCCATCTGATCTTCCGTTCAGACCAACTGCCGCACTGCCGGCCCGTGCAGGGGAACGGCTCGAGGAGCCCCCGCCACCCACGCGTGGGGAGGAGCTCGGCACCCCGCCTGCTCTGGCCTCCGTGGTCTGAATGAGTGTGCAGTTCCCATCCATCCTCATCCGTAAACCCAGCCTTCTCTCCAGCCCCTCTGCGGAGGGAGCTGGAGAGAAGCTGCATCAGCCTCTTTTAATTTCCTCTCGCTCATCTCCCACGCGCCATCCTCACTTTGGTTTGACTCGGCATTCACTCTCCATCCACCGTTGCTACATCTGAGTGACCTGCAGATTGCCCCGAGGAGCAAACAAATAAAGGGATACAGCCACGCAAAGGCCCGGGCTCCCCTCCCCACCCCCGGCCGGGAGCAGTGCACGCCCCGTGTCCCGTCATGCAGTGTGATGTGGACGTCCGGGCAGGTTACAGACGTGCGTTTGGCCCAGCGTCTCGTGGGAATGGTTTTGTTCATTTCTCTTCCAGCCTTCAAGGATTTCCTTTATTCTAGTGGAATCTGAAAAGGCTGTCCCGCCCACTCCTCCCAGACCCGAGCCTGCCCATCTTCGTGTTAGGAAACCATTATCTCTGGCTATAAAGAATCGAGCTGCTAGGTTGGGTCATTTTAGAGCCGTGTTGCAGCCGTCAGACAAAGGTGCAGGTGGCCCAAGGGGAGGGGAGGTGGGATCGAAGCCCAAGGCTCTTAGACCCCAGTGCACCTTGCAGTGGCCTTCCTAGAAGGGCTCAGTGCGGCAAGAAGGAACGGTGGGATCCTCCATGGAAGTGTCACCACCTATGGAAGATCAGACCCCCGTTCCCGCGTCACCTTGATGCCTGACAGGGAGTGAGGTGCTCTGTGACGAGCATGAGTCCACCCAGTGCCACAGAAAGGCTCTCTAGACAGTTGGTTTTTTTTTTTTAATTATTTTTATTTAAGAGGCGTTCCCTTGCTAACTGATGAGATTTCACTGGCTGATTCGTTTGTTTCAGATGCTTGAACGGATGCTTTAGAATTTTCTGCCTGAGCTCCGGCACCAAGCTGGTTAGTCCCGAAGGCGCCTGTGGCTCAGGCCCCACGAGGGCAGAGGCTCGAGCGGGCTTTTTTCTACTGAGACAGCATTTCGGGAGAAATGCAGGAGAAAGCAAAGCCAAGGGCCCCGGGAGATCCCGTCCCAGCCAAGCACTCCTCCAGAAGGCGGCTGCGGGGCCGAGGCTGCCTGCCTGGCACGGACGCTGCTCGCAGGGGCTCCTTCTCGTGAAAGGGGCGTCCGAGGCCAGCCGCCTGTCCCTCCAAGCAGAGACTCAGAGAAAGGGAGAGAGAGAGAGAGAAGGACAAGGGCGGCCACCCCGCAGAGAAGTGAAATGAACACAACTTCCTGATGCTGGCCAGTAAAAATAATAATAATAACGCTAACAATCGTAAAAATTGAGTACTAAACAGATGAAGCAGATCTGCCCAAGCTGGGGCAGCTGACTTTGGCCCCAAGTCCTGTATACCCGCAGTGGGCCCGGGCTCCCAGGACTGGCCTGAGGACCCCTTGGCGCTGAGCGAGCCGACCGAGTTCCTTCACCGGGCCAGTACGTCACGACCTCCTGCCCGCCCGGCCCTGCTCACTGAGGTGACCAGGCCAGAGGGCAGTGACCAGCGGACAGGCGGGGAAGCTCAGATACACCCCATTGAAACTAACATACACCTGCATGCCAGAACCAGCCCAGGCGACACCTCAGGTTCCATTGTAGCGTGCCCACAGGAAACACCGTCACACCCAAACCTCATCCGACATTGTCCGCCCGCACTCCTGCTCAGAGCCAGGCTGGGGACGCCTCTTTGGAAGCAGTGTGGTCTAGTTTCAAGGACACCGCGAGTCAGGGAAACCTGGGCTCTAGTCCCGGCTCCAGCGTCCACTTGCTGTGTGACCTTGGGCAAGACACTTAACCGCTCTGTGCCTCAGTTTCCCCATCTGTAAAATGGGGGTAATCCTGTTGACCTACCTCACAGGGCTGTTGTGAGGAATAGCTAAGTGATTGTAAAGCACTTTGAACGTATTCCCGCTTATTATTAAGACTACAACAATAATAATATCGTATGCCTGTTTACTACCGGAACTTGACAAAATTCTTGTT